CGTTCTGTGTATACATTTTGCACTTTTAAATTTCTCATAAATGTATAAATGTCCGCAGTTTAATAATTAGTTACCGTTATTTCAAAATCTACATATAATCTAATGTAACGCTCTTTTTTTGTTTTAGCCTTTATCAGAGCTACGCAAGAAACAAGCCTGATGTCCATATGGTCGACAAGCACTGGACGCAATTCAGTGTTTGGCGCGGAGGACGGAGCAGTACTCCCCTCCTCGCACTTACCCATCCACGTACACGTGGCACGCACACATCTGCGCAACGCTGACGGTCACTGCTTCCATAAGCGGTTTCACAACTGTCAGGTCGGTAATTCTCCCCTTGTCTCTTTGATCTCGCAGTTCGTTTCCTTTTTATCTCTCTCCGGGTATTACGCTAGATATTATACGGTTATCTCGTAGTCTTCTTCCATAACACCTTATATGTACGTTTTGACATATACAGTTTTCACCTGCGACAACTTTTTCGTTTATTTTCTCGTTTATTAGGATTATATCGTTCACCCGCATGTGCATTGGCAGATGCTTGGTCATTTTGAACCGCCTTTGATACTACAAGCAACTCCAGCGAATCTTATCGCTGAAATATAAATATTGATACTTTTGATGTGCTGTAGAAGATACTTCAAACGTTCCGCATGGTAGTCAAATAACGTATTCCGGGTATTACAGATGTTATGATTATGTTATGAATATTTGCGTTTGTAAATAATTTTAAAATAGAACAAAATTGTTTATATATTACAATTGCATAGAAGAAAGATGCAGAATTATCTGAAGAGTTCTATGTTAGTATTAATGTGTATAACGTATGGACATCTAGCTCGCTGATAAAGTACACATTCACAATTTAAGAAAATTAAAAAAGCATGTTGAGGTGATAATAAATGTATAATACAATCATATGAATTTATGCTAATTATCGATATCTCATCAACATATCTTATCAATGATTCCGATGAATTTTTAACACCTTGTAGGAATCAACGCTTGAACTTTTTCCTATACATATAACCGCCGCTCAGGCTTAGTTTTCTAGATATTCGTAATAAACTGTCGGTACCGCTACAGCTAATTCTGCCTATATTTGGTGACGATATATGTACTAGTATTAATTGCCGATATTAATGCTTAGAAAGTACGAAAACGTTATTAATATATTAGATATAATATTGGTCGTTTTGAACCTTTTTATATATATAATATGCTTGTCAGAGTAGTCGGTCCTCAAAGTATTAAATTGTGAATCTCCTTAATAGGATAAACGTCCATGTATTATACGTATATAATAATATTAACATATCCATGAAAGCAATTCGCTTTGGATAATTCTACGTCTGTCTCCATATCCTATTCGTCAGAATTGCCAAGCGTCTACTATCTCACTAAGAATTAATAAAAACTCCTTAGAATCTCCAATATTGAAATATAAAATTCAGTCGACTTTATGATTACAAACAATAACGTATATCGAATACTCCATGTGTTTGCTATTCAATTGAACTCCAACTCCAAGAGATCATTTTGTTTGTTGCCCGCCTTGATTCGATAAATCATGCTCTCTTGATATCATTGTTTAAAACTCAATTCCGTTGACGATTTACGATCTGGTGAACAAAGTACTACGTATTAAAACTCATGAGATTCGTTGATGATCTTTACCTGGAAGATATTCATGTTGTCGACAGAGAAGCAGAAAATTGAATATTATCTAACGTTCATGGAATCCTTGTAAATACCGATAAGATCAATCGAAACTGTTTCTTAAATTATATCGCTACCAATCGCTTCCTTAGTTTATAATGAAACATAATCATTTATATCGCATAATTATTCTCGCGTTAACGATCATGTTCTCGGCAACGAATTCACTTACATAAAATACAGACATACACGAAATACGTATAAACAACTTTGCGTTAGCGGAAGCTTGATGTATAAAGTATTATGTGTATACTAACTGTGGATGTGCGTGAATCGATGTTCAGAGGAATTGATTTATTACATGTTGTGTACAAGACTAACCGTAATCTCAATTCATAAATTTACTCCACTGATTTAAATGAACAAGAATTATTTATAGTTATAAATTATTTATATAAATATAGAAGTTAAATGTAAAAAGGATATATCTTTCCGTTCTCTAGATTTATTTTATATAGATTAAAAATGTTCATTTTGTAACAATTTACTACAATTACTAATTAGTTGAAAGATTGTATTATTCTGTTTTTTCTTTCATTGGTGTATTGTACTTGATTATATCGTGCTGTCGCTTGCCAGATTTCCCACAGATTCAATCTATCAATATTTAGATGAATCTCTCTCTCTCTCTCTCTCTTGCGTTGTATCTAGAGGCTTTCCATTAATTTTCCTTGTTATTTGTTTGGTTCAGCACCCGTTGGTTTTTTGTCCTACACAGGACTTTTGGCAAGCTCTCCTGTTGGCACCGACGTTGCCATCTACTTTCGGTACGTGCCTTTCTTTCTTACGTGTTTGTACAGTTGAACGCCAATTATCCAAACGCTGATTACCTCTAGATGTACAATTATCTTAGATGTATTTTTAACAACGATTTTACTATACGGACGGTGTACCACGATTCTGAAATGCCGAATGGATACCACCGTTGTTGGTCTCCCGCTATTTCAAAACGGCAATCATAGTTAGGATACTTACGTGTAAGTTTCATGATTGTGATTCAAATTTAAAAATAATTTATTCTAATACTCAAGATACAGGCTTTCCATGAATCAACTTTTATATTTATAACTTCCTAAACATTTTGTAGAAATCAGTATGCCATATAACAATTTTCTGATTTTCCCAAAGATGTGAAATTTCTTAATGAAATTTTAAAGGGGAAAAAATTGACTGATACAAAATTTAATAGACAAACGGCAATACAATATAATATATATTGTATATTATATATAATATATGTACCAATAATTGTATTAATTATAATATTATAGTATAAATCAGTGAAGTTTCAATTGAATCATATAATTGGTCACTATACTCACGCGATACTTGAGACACAAGTTAGCGTACTGTTTTCGATTAAGCATATTATGCAACCATTCGCTTCCATTCAATTCTATTTTACAAACGTTGTGTTAATAATCCCTCTATATTGTCTGTTATTCTTTTCTGTCAACCAGTCAAAGATGTCGCAGTCGGGAGATGGCCTTCACACGCCGGGTTATCTCTCTTGGAGAAAACTGCAGCTCAGTCGAGCGAAACTTAAAGCGTCGAGCAAGACGTCTGCTCTACTTTCCGGCTTTGCCATGGTACATAACTGGATATTTTAATAAATCTCTTTTTCGGTAATCTAAAATACCTCTGAATCATCAAAGCTTTAGAACAATACTTTTTTTTAGGTTTTAGCTTTTTGTTCTCCATTTTAAAAAATAACAGACTTAATAAATTCACATTGTGATAATAACAGTACAATAGTAAAGGGAACAAAGGGAACAGACAGGGGAGGAATATTGATAACAGTAACGTAGATTATAATTTGTTAAAAATGAGTTCAGGAACAAGAAGAGATATATCCCCGCAATATTATTTCAGCATTAATAGAATTTCTTAAAACTTAGTGGTACAGTAAAGTTAATATTTATTTTTTAATTTATATACAAATAGTTAGTCTAGAATTGAATTAATTCTGCATAAAAATATTGTAAAATTATTTTAAAAAGGACGATTACATATAACAATAAAGGAAATAACTCTGAGCAATTGATTTCATTACACAGATTATAAACTCACTGTTAAATATTTCATACACATTTTAATATATATTAATAGATATTAATAAATAAATATTTTTCCTTTACAGGTAGCTATGGTGGAAGTACAGTTGAATTCCGATACGAAAGTACCTTCAGAGATGTTAATCGCCTTCGCCGTGTGTACTACGTTGTTGGTTGCGGTTCACATGTTAGCTTTAATGATATCAACGTGTATTTTGCCGAACATCGAAGCTGTATGCAATCTGCATAGCATAAGCTTAGTACACGAATCTCCACACGAACGTCTACACTGGTACATCGAAGTGGCATGGGCGTTTTCTACTCTTCTAGGACTTTTACTATTTTTATTGGAAATTGCTATACTTTGTTGGGTGAAGTTCTATGACTTTTCACAAGTGGCTGCTTGGTCTGCTTGTATCGTGTTAATACCAGTACTAATAATCTTCCTCGCATTTGCGATACATTTTTATCGGAGCTTAGTGGCCCACAAATACGAAGTCACTGTGTCCGGTATAAGAGAACTGGAGTTACTTAAAGAACAAATAGAGTCAACCGATGTTGAAGGTAGAAATGGTGTGAATTTACTACAGACCGCTGGCATGACGCACGTAGTCTGAACATGGTAAAGCACAATCCATGATCTGTGTTACTTTTACAATGTGATAACCTCTCTGAGTGGAGGATAATGAATCTCTAATTATCTGCATATGCTGCATTGTTTAGCTTATACATGTTATTACGTATTAAAACAATTCAAACGATAGATTAGAATGGGTTATGAGGATGAGGATTGGTATTGTATTGAAAGCATCAAAAATGACTGTCTATAATATTTCTCAACACTTTTATTCGCCTACGTGCGACAAGTTTGAAAGGGAACACCTGTTTTTTTCAGCGAGCGAAGCGATATATTGCTACCGATGTTTAATTATATCGCAATGAATTTGTACACTTACTGAAAAGTAATTTTTGGTAAAAGGATATATGTATGTATAAACGTGAAACATTCCCCTTCTCGCGTAGCGACTTAACCTATAAGAGCAATGATACGCGATAAGATTTATTGTATAACGTATCCTTAGCTATGGCTCAAAAAACAACAGTCTTGAATGGGGGTTTATATCTTCCATTGACAATGCGTGACTAGCTCGCATTGAATGTACTTATTATTAATTTGTTCGAAAACATGCCTCTCGTGCGGTATTATTCACAGTTCTTTTTATGTTGTTCGTTTATTTCTTTTCACATAATAAGTCCCGTGCTCAAGTAACGTTTGAAAAGCTTTTTACGCGGAGACAAAATAATTTTCAGTCTTATTGTCTCTGTCTGTACAAAATTACTGCCGTCGCTAAAGAAGCGGCAATTAAATTATTGTACATAGCTTTTATTGCGAACAAACGGTTTATACGTGTATACATATGTTGATAGAAAGAAATATATGCAAAATTGAAGTACTTTTGCTAGAATAAATTATACAAATAACATCGACTCATTCTGTATTACGTGTTATTTTAAACTGTAAGAATATATGTTCATAAAACGGAATTTAAACAAGGGCACGTGTTTATGGACACGCATATATTCGGAACTATACGCTTCGATGCTCTCTTACAAAAAGGTTCAGTGAAAAAGGATTCCCCCTTTTTGTTATCATATATAGTTTCCGAAGTATCTTGAGCATTGTTAATATCCGTTATCACTTTCAGCTTTGAACCAAATAAAAATTATCATCAATGAATAAAAATTTTACAATAATGTTGATAATTTACTTATAATCGTTACGTACTTCCGGAATAGGATATGGTGTTGGACGAGTTGCAGATTGTCGAAAATCTGCATCTGACATGGTTCCGTTTATAAACCAATCATTTGTCCAGAAACCACGCTGCTCTTGACCGGTAATTATGTGATAAAATGTGCCGTAACCTTCTTTCTTGCCCTTAATAAACTGACCCTCATATTTGTTGCCATTTTCTGCAAAAGTTAAACATCTCACCCACTTTTAATTAGTGTATTGGAAAATAACGATAAGTTATTCGTTATTTATAGCCGAAACATTATTAAGGTCGGTTGTAAAAAGAACAGATGACATCAATTAGGAAACCTTTAACGAGCAATCCCATGCCATGGTAAAAATCATCCTTCCAAGCGCCCTCGTAATAATCTCCATTACAATGCCACATACGGCCATAACCATGTCGTTTATTTCGACAGAAGTCACCTTCATAGTAAGAACCATCTTCGAACCAGTTATGTCCGAATCCTTGCTTTTTTCCAGCCACCCATTGGCCAATATAATATCGATGAATAGTATGGTCTTCTTTTGAAATTTTGCTCAAAATACCGCAACCATGTTTTTTATCATTGAGCCAGCTACCATTGTACATCCATCCATCTCTATGAAATTTCAAACGAAATTGAAATTGTTTTCGAACATGTGAAAAATATCAGAAGACTGTACAAATATTAAATAATATTAATTAATAATAAAAATAAATATTTCAAATGATTATCCTTATTCAGAACTACTTACAGCAGTTGTTCTAATTCATTGACTGTAACACAAATTTTATATATTTTGAAAGCCGCAATAGATTGAAATATATTATACCATAACATTTAATTGTTGCAAAATACAATATTATATTTGCGTAATTTTTTCTGACAATGTTATCTGAATTATTTACATTGAACAAATTTTATTTTGATCATTCTAAAATATTTAGTTCATATCATAATTAATATACCTGTCCACTTCTTTACCTATGCCTTCTCTTATGTCGTCCTTCCATTCGCCAATGTAATGACTTTTGAAAAGTCCTTTGCTTTGAGGGCTAAAAATGGCATGACGCAAACCATTTCTTTTCGAGCTCCCTATTCTCTGCTTAATGTATGAAGTTTTAACGAGTTCTAAAAAAGGCATTGTAACATTTATCAGAGATTTCATTTAAATTTTGAAAACATAATTTTTTTAACAATCATGTTAAAATGGTTAATCTTTCATTTTAAAGTATAATTGATCATTCATTTTGACAACGGCACCACTTTATGATCGAACAAACGAATACGAATAAAATTGAAATATGCAATAAAATATTCGATTTGCAAATGTAAGAATAATATATCAATGTCATGTATTATTAATAATTTTTTATACTTTATGATAAAAAAATTTCAAATAATATACAGTAATTAACCACCTTGAAATGTGCGAACGAAATATTCTTTTCTACTAAGTAATAATGAAAGATATTAATATAAGACCGCTAAAATTCATTGGAAAACTTATACCTTTTACGATTTTATGTCATGCTTAAAATTATTGTATGACAAATAATTATCAATAAAAAGATTGCTCGTTTAAAAAAATTTGTCATACCGAATAATGAAATTCGTGAAAATCTACTCCACGCTTATTTGCACACGAATGAGAGCGCCCCTACAGTTAAGTTTTATTGCGTTTAGAAAACTTGATAAGATTGAAGCGTCGTGTTTTCATTGAGGCAGAAGATCGAAGGAGGGAAACTAGCTTCACATAACAAAAGATCATACGTCCATAATATAAAATAGTTCTATCTATGTTTTCGTATCAGTATCGATAGTATTTCCATGAATTCAACGATTACCATCAACGACACCGACGAAGAGGTGATTGATTTAGACTCAAGCCAAGATATCAATATTACTGACAATGACCAAAGTGAATGTTCAATTGAGAAAGATTCATTACCGAACAACAATGCGGATAAGATGAACGTAACCAATAATTATATGGATAATAATAAAAATGCATCTACAATGGAAACTTGCGATAGTGAGAGTTCATCGACACCACTTTTGAAGGTTATGTTTCGAGATGAAAACATTGCATGGTAAAAAATTATTATTTGCTATTGATATATAATATATGTACATATGGACATATATATATATATATATTATTCTTTATAAATTTTCGGGTAGAATGGGTAAATTTATACAAATACTTGTTTATATAACCTAAAACGACATAAGCTGAATAATGGCTGAATAAACATACATATATCAGTGTCGTTCTTTATTTCAATTTGTTATATATAAAATAATCATTCTAATTATATATGATAAAATAAGTTATTTTGGTCCTAAGTGAGTTGCATCACTTAGTAAATATATTAAAATAATAGTATGTAACTAGTTTTTAATGTAATTAATTGCTTTTTATCGAGGTAACTTTTAATTCCATTTCCTTTATTGAATTTTTTAGGCAATATAGTAAAAAAATAAAAGTGTTTCTAGAGGAGTTAGTATCTTCCAAGATTAAATGTCAAGAAAATGATAATGGTTTAACGTTAGAAGTTTGGGATAATGATACTGACTCAATAAGTCAATCTATCGATATTACGACAGGGAGTGATGATAGTCAGGATATAATATGTGATACATTATTTACTGTAGATAAACAGCCAAGACCTGGAGATGAATTTGATGTTCCATCTTATAGTAGGGTCTGTTTTTTTATTGTATTGTTCAATATTTACATATAAGAAAAAACTATTTAATACCGATTGCTCCGAATAGCTAAATTGTTAATTATTCTTATTGTTTTAATGTTATTATTATTTTAGAAATATATATTATGTGATAATGTGTTTGATGATACAAAATTGAAATCAAGTAAATATCCAGAGGGTAACTCACAAAGGTTTATGTGTTTTAATTGTTTGGGAAATCATAATTTACGAGATTGTACAGAACCACGAAATTATACTGCTATAGAAGCAAATCGAAAAAATTTCAATATGAAAGGAAATTCAAAAGGTGTTAGATATCATTTGGAAAATAATCATAGATTTGATCATATAATCCCTGGTCAATTAAGTAACAATTTACGTAATGCACTAGGTCTCAGAAGTAATGAATTACCTAGACATATATATAGGTAATTAATTAAATTTCATGTTATAATTTTTAAAAAATCATAGGTAATAGAATAAAATTAAGGAAAGTATTTAATTTGTTAAATGTAAACAGATTACAAATATGGATTGTATGATGTTTATTAATCTAAATTTTTGTATATAAAAATAATTTTCTTAGAATGAGGAAGCTTGGCTATCCTCCAGGATGGTTAGAGGAAGCACGTTTGCAACACTCTGGTTTGTCCCTATTCAATTCTGATGGCATTGCAGAAGAAGATCCTAATGATGAACCAGGACATATCGTTGAAGAAAGAGACAGAGATCAATATGATATAAAAAAAATATATGACTTTCCTGGTTTTAATGTACCAGCTCCACCTGGCACTTGGGATGTAAGCAACAGTAAATTTTATAAAAGTAGTAGATTTTTACAAAATCAAATATACTAAACATTTATTATGAACAATAGGAGGATGGGAAATATTCTGTATCAACAATGTTGACTTTTCATAGCAAACAAAGAATGTTGTCAAACTTAAAAGGAAGAATGGCAGACGATGGATATAAGAGAAAAAAACTCAAAGTTTTTAGTAATACATCAAAAGACAGTCCAGTTCCAGAACCTACTGAAATGGAAATTGAGGATCTAGAAGGTACAGAAACTGTATATTCACACACAACAATTCTTTCAAAATTCACGTATTCTACTAATTAAATGCATATGTTATAAAAACATTTTTATTTTGTATTAAGTAGATAGTCCGGTAGAGTGCGTACCTACTAATGGGCTGTTTATACCACCGCTGCCTCTGGACGACCCTGTAAAACCGCCGGAACCACTATTACCACAAGAATCTTGTGCAAAACCATCAGAACCACTATTATTAAAATCAACAACAATATCTGAGGATTCAGATTATCATTCTCAAGAATTACAATTTTCTGAAGCATTAGTATGTATAAAAGATATTACATACATTTAGCATTTCGTCCAGTATTAGTTGTAGAAGGATAAGGAGAAGGATAAAATATTTTCGTAGCGTGTATTAAAAGATGAGATAAACATTTTTGTACAAAACATTTCAGGAAGACACTACATCGCCTTCTTTACGAGCGAATTCTCCGTCGTTATCCGAATTGGAGAATATGAAAAAGCAACTGCTTGTAGAACTCCAGAAATCAAACTCAGATATTTCATCAAAAAGCAATTCTTCGAATTCAATATCAAAATCTGATATGCCACCACCTAGTAATGAGATTACTCCAGAATTAAATCGTATCCGTCAAAATGGAATTAATACAAGTCATGGAAGTGTGAAGTCTATTGACTTTGGTACGCCTGTATTACAGAGTACGTCTCCATATAGCAAATTGCCACCATCTGAAAAATTTTCAAAGAATATTTGCAATTTAATTAATTTTGAGAACTTACCTGATTCGACAGGTAAGTATGAACAAATGACCGGGGTTTTGCAGAAAGTAAGACATACATTAGCAAAGCTGCATCAAGAATAGTTGTATCTCATTACAATTCATGATTGAAAAAATTATCATATTTTATAAATGAGCAATAATTCCATTTTCTGGGAAGGTACAGAGATATAAATTTCATTTGATATATTATATTTCTAATTAAAAAAATGACATATATTTTTATCTGTAGTTAGTCCAAAATATATGGCATTTTTTAACATAAATCTTATGTTAGGAAACGTACAAACAACAGATTTATTCCCTATTGTTGTACTTATCTTTCGGAACAAAAAATACACCTAGTATATTTTATGCAATCTTCGATTTCCCCTTTTAATCCTCAATAATTAATGAACAAATTCAAAGTTTCATTGGCCTTTAATCGTTATAGAAGGCACATTAAAATTTTTCACATAATGAATTTATGTAGGAGGGCGGGCCTTGGAGTAAAATCCAATGGTCCTTTTAATTGATCTTTCTACTTATGTCTGGAAAACGAAAAAGCTTATAATTTTAAACAAAATTTCATGTCTTACTTATGAAAAGTACAAATACATACTATTTTTCTATTAATTAGTGGCATTTTCTCACGTGATACATTGTGACTGAACATAAACCATTTTATATTCATCAAAAAACATTTCAAGCTTTATTTTCTTGTGAATTATACTTATCACCATACATTGCACATTTCTTCTGCATGTCCAGTTCGTTTTAAAATTGGTAAATATTTTTATCCATTTATGAAAATATATAAATTCAATATATGCATTTAAAACATTTGTTCTATTATCGTAACTGTCTATGCATAATTATTTTCTTTAACATGTTCGCTACCACGCGGCATGTGAAACATCTATCTATTTTAGCTTCACTAGTCTTACACACTATGCCACACATTTTCATTTATGCACATACACAATATGCTAAACTAAATAGACAGAGCAAACATTATATGATATGACACAGACGTGATACTAGTTTCTAGCTATAAAATTCAGAATTTATACATTTTACTTATTTATGTAATTTGAAAATAAAAAATCATATCTGTCACAGTGGTCTCTTAGAATAGTATATACATCATACATACATACATATGCACACACACACATATATTATGATGGTAACAAACGTGTTAATAAATAACTGAATAATTAATTTTCTTTACTTATCAATATCTGTTTCGTGTTTTATACACACACACAGATTCTATAAACATAGAATTGAAATTGAAATTATTGTTAATTAAAGAATTTATTTTTGCTATTTTTATATGGAAATTTTCATTCATGTTTTCTAATTAGAAGATTAATAATAGCAAAAAGTTTATCAATTCTAAAAGATACTGTGTACATATGTAAATAAGGAAAGGAATGTCTTGTGTTTTGTAATAATTATAACAAAATACTAACAGAAGCACGCCAATGCTATATTTAATGTGTATGTCATTTATTTTCCTCTCTAAAATATTCGATTATTTCTAACATATTTGCATAGTACAAAACGTAAATGACGTGAGAACAGAATTTGATTTAAAAACGAAAATTGAAAAATATTACTAAAACTATAATTTTTAAAGCTAATCTCTTATATTCTCGATGTACACGGTGTCTGAAAATAATTTGTCACGAGCATCGTAGGGTTATTCTATTGTGAAACTCTAGCTCGGTGAAGATTTACGAAAAAGGTAGCGGCAAGGTAGCGGTATTGACTTTGATCTTGAATTTCAAGGTCGAATTTTTGTACTGCATCATATTTTACTCGTTATAAGGATTAACCCTTTGCACTCGAGAGATGATTCTCAGTCGCTATGGCGTTCCGTGTAGCAACTCGAAAGGAGAGTGATAGGCGACAGTCCCTGTTTATGCTAGATTTCGACCTCTCCAATTGATGAGAACACAGTATTGGTTCGTAAATAGATTCCTTAGCTCTTTATATTGTTTGTTACGAAGTGTGAAGTGTTACACTTTAAGATGGAGATGAAATACTTATGCTCAAATCCTTCCAAAACTATGGTTCTGGTAACGTCTCCGACGTTAGTTCAGATTCGACGATCGTGCCAGTATTATAGTTTTGTAAATCTAGAAGCTCTAAAAAAATGGATTTGGAAATTTCTTTAATTAATTCATATATTCTATAAAAAAGCAAAAGAACGAAAGGCCGCTGAACCACCTGCGATTTATAAAAACTTTAGTAGACCAGTTGAGAGGAGATATTCGACTACCGTGAGATCAAGCTTCAACGTCGGCTGCTAATTGTGATGAAATTTGGTTAAATGGAGAGCTCCATGTAATTTTAAAAAAGGATTGTAAGGTGTGTTCTTACCGAAACAAAACAGAAAAAGACACGAAACAACTTATTATTGCGATACTTTTGCCGATAAGCCAAGGATGCATCTTGACACATGTTTTGTAAATTATCGTAAAAAAAATACGGAAAAAGTATTAAAAAATGATATGTTTAAAGATGTAAATATATATAGATTATTAAAACATAATGTTTTTTTAATTAATGTTATTTTTTAATTAATGTTAATTTTTGTATAAAATCATTTTATATTACCTACAAGACACTCGTCACATACGTGCAAAATCACCTCGAGTTGATGCTATGCTCGACCGAAAAGGCCGTCGAGTGCAAAGACTCAAAGAAACTATGGATCGCAAATCATCTTCTCAGTCCTCTTGGAAAAAAATGTTAAAGTTTTATAAATTTTCGAATTCACATTGTTTGTAATGTACTTATATTTTGAAATCAGATGCATTAATCTATTACATTAGAATTACAGATTAATCTATGACAAAAAGAAGCAAGAGTCGAAAGTATGAACCAGAGACGGTTTACGAATATTTGCAACGCAACAGTGACCTTTGCTGCGATCATGTTTTGCTTAGAATCGATGCCACGATATAGTAAGGCAATATGATTCCCCCTCCAAGCAATATCTTTTTCTTACCGGCCTGCGTTATGTCAGACACTTTACAAAATCGACAGCCATATATCAGATATATAACAGATAATTACAAATAAAGTGAATTCTAAAGTTAATTAACATCTTTTTTTAAGAGAACGGTCGAATGCGACCCATGGTTCCTTTAAGACTTTCGATCCTCGCGATATAGTATAGAATAGAAGTATAGAATATGATGCAATTAAAAAATGACCCTGAATTTCAAGGTCCAGGTCAATTTTACAGCTACTTTTTTGTAGATCTTCACTGATCCAGTGGTGTAGAATGCTATGATGCACGTAATAAGTACTTTCTTAAACAAATAGTACGTGTTGTAGCATTTAATATACGTACATTAAATATCCATAAATATGTAATTAGAAAATAGTGTATTGATTCAATAAGATTACTTACCATTACACATGTTTTATCTTTTTTGTGAAATACACGTATATTTATAATAATTTTTTGTGATAATTGAGTCATGATGAAATATTATATAATTACAATATACATTTTCTTCAAACGATATAAATTACTAATTTTAAGCAAATGGAAATATATATTGTTATTCAGTTGGAAAATAATAATACTGTATTTTTCAAGAAACAAAACATTAAAACCTTACCAATATTCCACATTGTTATGATACCTTAATCTGTTCTTTTGTTACAAAATAAAGTAAACAATGAAAACAAATATAAGATACAATGCATGTTTATTGTTACAAATAAGACGGAGGAATGTACAACAAATTACATTAAATTACATTAAATTTTATTTTTAAATCATTTTGTGTATAGTAAAACCATTAGGATTCAAATAGGGCTCCAACGTAATAGATCATACAGAATAGCACAAATAATGTAATTCAACAGAAATTATTGGGGATACTGTCTCCAATGTTTAATTTTTGTACTGAGCAACATGAAACTGTAATACTATTATATTTAGTTTTTCAATCCTATTACAAAAGAAAAAAGATTGCCTCAATTCATTGTATTGTTTTTAATGTGTATTGTACGCCTATATTCTCAGAATCCCTCAAAACTAACATAAAAAGCATAAATAAACGGCAATATATTTTAGTTCATCGTTACATTGTTTTTTAATTCATCAACAAATTTTAGTCTACAAAGTTCAATTACATCTCCTATAAAACTTTATCGAATTTAATATAAATACTAGAATACAATACCCTTATCGAATTACAGGTACTCAGGCTATTTACAATAATGAATATCAAAATACATTTTTAACAGTTTTTCCCCTATGATATACAATATGTGCAATCACAGTAACAACATGATGAAAAAGTTCTTATTATTCCAGTTTAAAAATCGCAATTTCAATGTTAAAAGTGCCACGTGTTCGTAAAAGACTATTTCCAACAATCTGTGGCACGACATCGATGATTCGATTACGTATTATATTTAACGAAAATAATCTCGTTAAATTATATTTTTCTCTTTTGCACAGGTCCCCTGACATGTGATAGATTTTAATAAGTAAAACTGCAGAAATTAAAATGGGTATATATATACTCGTTAAAGTGTATAAATATAACGATTCTCAAACCTGTGAAAGGAAGTTATAGTTCTTATTTGGTTAGATTAAATATATACTAGTTATATTTTATAAATCGAACGAATGAATTAATTATTCTCTCTCCAGTTCTTCTGTTATCATAAGTTTGGCAGATTCTACTATGAAAATCCAGTGTTTGTCATATTACATTTCTTATTGTGCTGTCGGTGGAGGTACGGGAGGGTCGCCGTTTGAATCCTAAAAAAGAAGTTGTATGAATATTACGATAAAAATCTAAAGTAAAATAAAAACAGAGTTAATTATACTGCAAGTAATGTGCCACTTACGCGTTCGTTATCTCGATCTTTAGCTGTGTTGTTGGTTAATTGACGAAAAGAGTTTGGTCTAAGAACATACATAAGAACAGCGAATCCAATAATTAACAAAGTAGTCATGAAAAAGTTTGAGGACGACGAAGTATCGCGTGGTCCTGGCACTAGAAAATAAATGACGAAGATTATGAATTATGACGATTCACAAAATTTACATTATCTTCACTAGTAAAATATAGAAAAAATACTTACATCGCGACATGCTAAAGCATTCATTATCCGTGCAATAATTTTGATTTTGTCGCAACTGAAATGAAAAAATATTGACGAAGATCTATAAACATGACTAGGGAAATATTTTTTAGTTATTTTGATAATATGCATCTTACATACTATTTTTACCAGGTTTTTATCTACTTGTTCATATTTATTTATGTTAAGTAACGTTTGCGAAATAATCAGTAAAACAAACTCGTAAAACTTATCGCTTATCGCGACAAATTCTTACAAATCGGACAAAAATAATGTATTCGCTATTACGTACAGGAAACACACCTTACCTTAACCAACGTTGCGTTCATTTATATGCTATATTGCGAATTTACTGATTGTTGTAAATAAGTCGGATAAAAATGTTATAAAACATACACATCGTAATAATAAAAGCAAACGATGATGATATAATTTTTCTTGTATATAGCTTAAGAAACTTATGGACATATGTAATACTTTCTTTTACTGTACGATCTTGGAATTTTTATGTCTTAGTCTTTCCATCATTTTGTTTTGACAATCAAACACATCTTTGATATGTTAAGAAAAATTTTTATGTAAAACTATATTGATAATGATCGTTTATGTTTTCTCAAAATTTAAGAAATTTTTTAACAATAGAAAAACACGCTTGGATCGGCGATGACCCAAAAGACGTAAGAATTAAAAATAATTAAATTAAAAGTAATAACGAAAATTACAGTCAATCATTGCCACTTACGATCAAAAGCAGACGTTGCATAGCAAATTCGCTCCACATATATTCGCACATATCAAATCCCTCGTCTGCCATCGCAGTATCTGTGCTTCAAATCAAAGCAAGGGTTAATTATCATGTATTAAACTCCAAGTCTAGAATTACACGTTATTATAATCCATATTAATAATTAAGCTATATAATCATATTATGCAGTTATAATAACTATTCTAAAGCATCGTGTGTACAATATACTTTATCATTCGAATAATGAGTTCGCAATACACATATTACATATTCGCAATATACGTATGTAACTGACCATTACCATTCTCACCACTCCTTGCAAGTTCCAGCCTTATAAGCAATGTTTTATTGGATTTACAGTAGATTGAGACCTAACCTGGTCAATTATCGGGGAAGATAAATTTTTAATATCCAAAGTATTTCTTTTCTTCATAAAATGCGAGTAAAATATGAAGTTAACAATACCTTCCTATAATAATACACCCAAGACTTATTCCACGTAGATTGGGTTAAACTATAATAAGTATAAGTCAATAATCTTTTAAATGATGAAAATACTTTCTTTTTATAAAACATATATAAATAAATTTAAACTAATTTCTTTGGCAGATTTTGAACATTTTAACATTGTAAAGACATTAAATTTCTAAAATTTGTTCTTATATTGTAAAAGGAAAGAAAATAATAAAAATTCAAAGTCACTAAACTGCATAATTACCATACTAGGAACTTATTGCGTGGGTGTATTATCCTACAGAAACATGTAAAGTATTCGCACCTTACTTCCACTTAATGAAAAGGAGAGATATTCTGAGTGTTAGAGATATAAATATCTATCCTGATAATTGACTAAATAAGATTTCGATCTATGATCAATTAATAAAACAAAAAAAAAACACTACTTACAAAACTGGAACTATAAAAATATAAAAAGTTGAAACTTAAGGAATGGTAGGGATAATAGCGGTCAATTAACAAAATAACAGGCCAGTTAATAACACAATACGTATATTACGAAACTCACCACCAATCCATAATTACCAATAAATCCACATATTCAGCAAGACTATCTTTAACGTATATTATAATATGTCCATGTATTACAATATAATATATATAATGTATGTTGGCTATTCATGCCGTATATTAATTTTGTACTAAATATATGTTTGCAATAAATACTATATATATATATTTTGTAACTTATATATATATTTTCCTATTGGTTTCAAAATTTACCAACATAATTACGATTGTCGTATTTTATTAAACGGCCAAGAAATTCTCAAAATGTTTTATACACATACGATATAGGTACCATGAAAATGTTCTATGGTAAATATTCAAACACTTTCATGAGCCATTCTATATCAATTCTATGTAACATTATTATTTAGTTTTTGTGTTTTGCATTGTGTTTATATCATAATATATGTATATATATCTGAATAACCGTTGTAAATGAACTCATTTAGATGGCGATTATCAGAAACGAAAGGAAATACTCTAAATCGCGCGCGTGAAATCGTATCTTATACTATGTCACTTATAAGGTGGAATTATTCAATGTAATTTCGTCCCACGATAATGCTACAGTTTACAAATGAAATAAGTAAAGAAAGAAAATGTAAAAATATTACAATCATTGTTGTATGAAAATTATCACTAAGTTATCGTAATATTAGATTAATATTAGATTATTACATATAATAGCGCCGTTTTCTCCGTTTTTATAATAAATATAAAAATAAAACAAATTTATGTTTGTACTCAATACATTTCTGCGAGATTTATTTTAAGGCATTTTACATCCATTTATCCATTTATTTATATCTTCGAATTTTGATGTCCCAATCTTATTCTCTCATTATCGACAAACGGAAAAACGATTAATATATTAAGAAAAATTTCAAGAGAAGAAAAACGTGGTTTATTTTATTAATAACTAGACTGCGGATTAGTATGTACTTATGGTAAATTTAAAGATGTTAAAATGTACAAAATGCACATAATATGCAAAAATATAGAAAATGTTCAAAGTAAAATTCTTGTTACAAGATTTAATGGGTAATATTATGGTGGTTATGGTTATTAAAATTTCTAATTCAAATTTCTTGCATATGTTGACAAAACACTGTATGAAACTCGGCGCATTTCAGCGTGTGATTTTATTTATACAAATGACACGTGGAATGTGCCTCTGTTGTTTCTATGTATATGTTTATCAAACCTCTTTCTGTCATTCTTTTTTTCAGAATTTTAATTGTCGAATAGATTTTACACAAATACTAGAATTAGGTACATCTTGAAAAATATAATATTAAAAATGATAGATTAAATAAATATGTAGGAGAATATTTATATTCGATGTATAGAATAATTTTTACAGAGAATAGTACAAATTAAAGAAAGAGTACAAATGGAATATGATGAAAAAAATTTAACGTACAATGATCAAACAATTATCGAACAAAATAATGACTGTTTAACAACTGACAGTTCAACAGCTTGCTCATAGTCCATTAATATTAGCGTCAAATGAAGACAAAAAAAGTACATCAAACAAATAACGATCGTAAAGGAAAAAATGATAAAACCCTTACATACCTTAGTCGCTTTAGCAAAATAAGTATAATGCGAATAACCTTCGCGATAAAGTAGAATTTAACACTGTATAAAAAATAAGGACGTGCATATATTTACATCCAATACGTGTCAGCCATTACACTCGTCTTGTTGTATCTCTAATGTCTCAGTCGAGTACTGACGAATACCCAAGCTGAACTTTCATTGGTGCATTTTATGGTTGTGTGTCGTACAGTGTGAGTTGGAATTTAACAATTGGTTGTCTGTATCGAATAATTGCATGTTGCATAATAAATAACTTTCGAGAATTTTAAATAAATTATGTTTTCTAAATATTATATTTTAAATATTACATTATAATTTCATCTTGCACACGATACGCATATTTGGTTATTTATAGAAAACAATGAAAACAATTTGTATTTTATTTAACACTCTATATTTTGTATACATTTTATGTACATGTTAAAGACGTGTAAAATAAAAAAAAGTATAATTGTATACAAATAATTACATATTGTGTATGTACATATATTAGATTTTTATTAATTAAAAGAAAATGGAAAGTAACGAAATACAATAGATAGATTTGGCCTCTTATTGCAAGGAACTTCACAAATGTAAATAGATATTTTGATTATAATATTTAATTTATTCTAATTATATGTATATCAACATTATCCTTACTCTAAGTCTTGAATCTGAAACATAATAATTATATAATATATAATATAGAAATAATACATTAAAAGTACTAATTGAATAATAGTATTGCGCACCTCTTGAACCTTTTGCATTTCTTGCGTTAATAAATTATCCAATATTTCTTGAAGTCTTTGCCTCAATTTAACATTTTCAATGTTGGCTATTGCAAGCTCTTGTTGTTGCCTTCTTTGACGCAGTTCAGCTAATTCGGCGTGTAAAGTCGCCAGACGTGTTTGCAATGAATCTACAATATTTAAAAACGAATTGTTTGTTCATATACACATTTGTAATACAAATTTAATACATACGTAAATATAACAATACCTTTTAATGCTGAAACACAAGGTAATTCTGAAAAATTATCTGAAATGATATATTCTGAATGGAATTGTTCAACTTTAGGTACTTTTGATATAGATGTATCCTCTGTTTTTTCTACGTCTGTTTCCATATTATTGTCACTTTGGAACATTTCTTTGCTGAATACTGTGCAAAGTCTATTATTTGCTTCAATATTATTAGGCCTCTCTGAATATGCAGCTTGCATAGAATTAGAGTCTGATACTCTACTGTCTGCAGAAAGTCGACTATTCTCATCCAATTCCATTACATTTATATTTGCTTCCTCATCATCTTCCTCACTATCACTTACAGGTTCGCCAAATATATCATGTTCCGCTATACAATATAAACAATAATATTTTATTTATCTTATATCATAATTGTTGTATTTCTGCTTATATCCTATCAACTTACCAACATCAAAACTTTGAGATGTATTGCCATTGATACTTTCTCTCTTAGTTTTCACTGTACCAGATGACGACACTTTGCTCGGTTTTGATTGATCTTCATCTTCACATATCACCTCCCACTTAACATTAACTGCATCATTATCCACTCTTAACAAACGTTTAACTTCTTTCTCAATTTCTGGAGCTTCCACATATTTCTTCTTCAAGGTTTTTCTAAATCTTCTACGTCTTACATTTTTAGTAGGTGGAGTTATACCATGTGGCCACAGAAATTTTTTATCTACTTTATTAGGATCTTTTTTCTTTTGCCTAACTGGAGACTCTTCATCCGTGGTAGTATGATCATCTTCTTCTTTGCAAATTAACATCTATGAACATTAAAATATAATGAATTATGATAGAAATAAAAATTATATACGTGAACAATATAAAACTGATTACAAATAACTTTACCTGACATATATCAGCAGTTTTATAGAAACTCTTGTTATCAATAGTTTTTAAAGATTCTACAATCGTTGGTAAATCAACAACCTAGAGTTAGAATTTCCTTTAGAGTTTCCTTTATTACTTTTTCGTATTATTATATTTATATATAAATAAAAGAAAACCCATTGCGATTTTACCTTCCCATGAAGAAGCCAATGATCGAATCTAGCCTCACCATAACGCATATCATTTTCCAGTTTTATACTTAATCTATCTTTTAAAGACAATCCATTCCGTAGTGTTTCTCGTAAAACTCGCGCCGGTTCCTTAAAAAAATTAAAACATTTGTTATAGTTATACAAAATTTCATATTATTCGCTTTACTATTTTAAATGACTGAGATTAAATATTAAAATGAACTCACTGGTGGTAAACGCAAAATAAATTGACTTTCCAATTCTACTTGAGGCTCACAATTTTTTTGGTAATCTGTATTTGGATGACGACTCATATTCCTTCAAAATTAAAGTACTGTAACTTATAATAAGTCTTTCTAGAATATTTTATAAATAAATCGAAACTATATTCTGTCCAATTCACAAGTGACTGCGATCTGTACTCCAACTGCACGATCATATAAACATGTCTCGACGTCGATACTCAAATACTGAAGCCTGCCGAAGCCAAGGGAAAACTGGAAATTGAATAGTGAAAAAATCAACATGGAAGAAAAGAAGGCTTCCGTTTTGCGCATGCCTGACATGCTATGCATGTTCATACAGAGAAAAGACACTACTCATTTGTGTCTGTCTCGCAGAACGAGAACTTCGTTGTCTTCCATTTTGATCTTTCACAACTCAATTTTCGGACGGTTTCCCCTAACAAGTGTCGATACTTGTTTATATGATCATGGTGTGTCAGTTAATCGAGTCAGAAAAATAAACATAACTAGTCACGTTACACTACACTATAGTCTGTCTAGCGCATGGGCATATTCCTATGTTCATGATTCAACGAGACAAGACAGTAAACGTAAACAAAAAAACGTGATTGCAACTGCAGCAATCACGAAGAGATTATGGATGGACTATAAGTATTGGCTTTGAATTGCGAACGAATTATGATATAAAGGGATAACTATATTACTACAGAAAATGTTTAAATTGAGCTGTTTGATACATTTGTTTAAGTGAAATAGATATATTTGCTTAATTTATATCATCCATGATTTATATTAATATTACATCTTCCTGTGGTTTTCTCATATAAGGGTTATGTTCGCAAAACTAGTTTCCTATTTTATACCTCAGAATCGTGAATCCCCGAGCCTATTTTCCCTAGTAATTTTATTTAACTCTGCTTACTCGGTTCTTTGGATAGAGATAGAGATACATATTAAAACTAGAACTGCTCGAATGTTCAAAATTTGTATTTTTTCATAGAAATTTTATCAATTTGTATTAATGCACTTTTAGGTATTTGAATGATTTTTTAATAAAAGATATGGGTAGAAGCTTATTTCTCTTGCATTGTATATTTTTTCATGCACCTTTCATTTTGATTCCTTTAGTACAAGTTTTATATCTTAGTCATTGGTACTTTTAATGTTAAACAAAATGTAAAAAACTAGTTTTTTTTATTACGTCTAATTTCCAACAACATTATCTTTATTATAAATAAATAAAATAAATAATATAATGATAATATATATTAATAATATATTTAAAGTGATATATAAAAATAATGCTAATAAATATAATGAAATATAATAAATATAAATAATATAGTGATTACATATAAAGAATTGAATATAAATAAAGTAAGGTACACAAGAAATATATCTCTGAAATAATTCATTCAATTTATTAAATTATCTTCTATAGATACGGATAAAAGGTTCTTATTTATTATGACTCAGTTATATGACGTAATGATAGCCGCTGTCCGGTTTGTTTAATGTAAAAGAATATATAGGTAGCGTTTCTTTTAGATTGCGCTTAGTGTTGTTTTGAAGACGAATTAGATTTAAGTCTGTTCTCTAGATATTTCAGTTATAATTCACACCTTACACAGTTATATCATATTTTATACAAAATCAGTTTCTATATTACACATTTTTACTTGTGCAACGTAATATGTGAAGATACGCATGGGCATCAATAAATTCCGGTAAATAATTTGCAAAAAAATTCTTCATATAAGTTTCTGACAAACAATTGACACAATCAATCTATTCACAACACCGAGCAAGATGTTTCTTTCACTATTTTTTCCGGACGATATCGATGATACGTGTATGTATATATTTATTGCAAACTATTCACAATTTCTATCCATAAAAGCATTATTTTTAAAATTTTATTGATTTATATCATACACGACAAGAAAATATTTATCGTATGATTTTCGTGCGATTATTTAATCCTATTATATATTTCATTCATTGAATAATGATTTTATTGATTGAATAATGAATTCAATTGGAGATCGTATTAACGTACTTAATTGTTTCGTTACTCTACGAATACAGTGGTTCATGAAAGTACTTGAACACTTACTATAGAAAAATTTGAAGTTTATATTATATATGTTATATAAAATATTTTGAAACATTAGCACTGTAATGAAATGCGACTATCCTGATTATATTAATCAGATTTGGAATTAATCTTAAAATGTATATGGAAGCTGTACGAGATATTTATTGCAGGCATATGTATATTTAGTAAAAGACTAAAATTATAGCATGAATAGCTACCTTAAACATTATATGTACATATGACACATATAATGAGTGTTAAAAGTGGTTGTACTGAATATTTGGGTTTATTAATATAATGAAACTTGATTGGATATTAATACATAATATAATGGATTATTTAAATATTTTTGTGATCTTTGTGAAATATATACTTATACTAAATATACCTATTATAATTCCTATACCTATACGGATGCTGCAGAAAATATTTGTACATCACTGTATTTATTATAGCTTTATATATTAATTAATTAGGTATTACGATATTAAATTTCATATCATTCAATAGTATTTTTATATGACCATGAAAATTTAATACTATGAAAATGAAATATAGGACCTGGTAAAAAGATGCTTTATTGGAAAATAATAAAGGCAAATATTTTTTGTTTGTACATTTTCAGATTTGTCTCAAATTTTATAAATATAATCATGATAGTTATTTACACTCTGTATAGTGCAAATGAAATTTTAAAATGTTTTATATAACACACGTAATATATTCGTAAAAGTTTTTATAAATGTTCCAATGCTGAGTAACTGTAGATCGTGTGTGTCGTTCCTGGGAGCAATTTTCGTTCGTTAAAATGTTTACGCTTTATTGAATCTGCATCAATAATAAGGCATATAATAGCGACGTTTTATGCGTCGTACATCTTCATTCTGAATAACTTAGTAGGCCCATATGTTTATAGTTAAGCTATAACAGTAAGTGATCAATGGAACATCGGACTTTGCGCTCGCGCCGTCGTACTTCACTCGTCGGTGTATGTATATTCCCTTTTCCTTGCTTCGAATGTTTCTACCTAAATCACTAAAAAAGTCAGTTAATTTTGAAATCGTAATTGAAATTTTAATTCTGTATATAATGGTGAATATGTAATATTTATGTCGTCGTCTTTTACACTTTGATACACTTCTATAAGTGTAATTAATCATTATCTGTTATAACATATATAAGTATTGACTGGACAAACAATTGTTCGAAATCAGGTAAGTTGTGATTACTTTATTTAATACCTTTTTCAGATATTCATTTTGTAAATAATTTATTTTAATAGTAATATTATTTCTATAACTTTAGATGTATGATGTTATAATGAATGGGATATCTAGCACATTTCAGGCATATTACTCAGAATTTTTGCTTTGTTATTCTTGTTGGAGTAATTGCTATTCGTTATAGTGCTTATTTTGCAAAGAAATGCATCACTTAAAGTTGCATAGTTATTTAATTATCATTACATAGCATTTTATAATGACATACATTATGTACTGTGACCATTATTACGATCTATACCATTCTTTTAATCTTGAAAATTACTTGATAATAGTTGGTGTACCTATAATCATTCTTCATTTTGCAATATTCACTTTTATTTTTTGTTTTTGTTATTGTTATTGTTGTTATATATGAATATTTTTATATTACACTCCGCTATAAAATTATATAGTAAGATCATGTATGTTTTTGATGTAATAGATCCATCATGATTTCCCAACCAATTGTGGTACCTGGAGGTGAACATCGAACATCACAATCAGAAACCCACTCTATGTCTGTTGGAAGTACATCTGATTGCTTTAAGACCATGACACCGCCGAATGTAAGCAGATCACTTAGCAACCGTAAGTATCATATAAATATTATAACATTTATATTGTTAAAAGATATTTTAAAAGTCATTTTTATACTCTTAAGAGCAAATGTACCATGAAAGGGAAAGTTATGGATGGATAATAGATGAATATAAATATCAATTTACTTGTATATATAATTATATATTATGTATGTGGGAATTACATATTTATAGCAAAGAAATACGAACTATAGAACAACTTTTATTATATTTTATTATAATTTAGGTAATGATTAGTTTTTAGTGATTTAAATGAATAGTTTTGCCTTGATACATATACATATACTATTTTTACTATATTATATTATACTTTTTTTTATTACTAACATATATTTGTAATTTGTTATATTTTTTCAAGAAGTAAGTTTTGAAATTATGTATGTATATCTATATTAGTGGCTATATTGTCTATATAATTTTAGTGGCTAAGGATATTATTTTAATAATTTATTGAGTATTATTTGAAATGAATATAGCAATTATCATTTAAAGGTGTTAGTGACAGTGGATATGGTACATTACCAAGTAAGCTAGGTAGGCTTATTAATATATATTGTGTGCATATAGTAGCAAGCCTCAGTATTAGAATCATAAAGATAAATTAGTAGATGTGTGTATACACATATGTATAATATTCTATTTTCAGATTACACATATTATTAGCATTCTCTCATTTCCAATAACTTATTGCATCATCATTTTATGTTATCAAATAAACCATAAATAAAATTTACAATACACAAATTAACTTCACTTATTGTTTAAATATGACCTTCTTTAACATTATCACATTAAACAAAAGGATAACTTGTATTATTAGAACTATTAAAACGCCATGCTATTGAATGTATAAGATTAACATAATACATTCATGCTGTTAGCACATTTTTCACTTTTTAGTATGTCATAGTATATTATATAACATGAACATTTATTCATAAGTTTATATAAGGAATATTATATGTAAGCTAGAAAATAATGTTCTTCATGTCTTCAAAAGTTCTGATGCATGAACCAATTTTATGTTACTCAGTGTAGTATAATAGATGCATGTGTTAGTATTAAAAATTTATTATTATTCCTGTCTTATAGTTTTCAATAGTATGTAAACAATATTTTTATTTAGAGACATATTTCTCAATTTTTAGAACATATATAACGTAATGTACATTGTGACAACAATATGTAACTTGTTGTGCATGTAACCTTTTCTGGTGCATTTATGGACTTTTGCATGTTGTAATAGATGTATACATTTTATTTAGTACTAAAGTTTCTTTGCTTTTGCAATTTAATAAATTTAATTAAAATTTGGAGCTACATTTTATATAATTATGTTTACTGCAAATTCTGTCTTTAAAATTTAATGTTATTAGCAATTCATAACTAGCGTTGCTGAAATGGATTTATACTTTAGAATGTGATATGATGTAATTTAATCTTAGTATCTTTATTGTTAAGTAGCTTATAGCTCAAAAATTTTTAGAGTTTGTGATTTTGAAGGATAGATATTTATATAAGATTGAAAAATACATATTTACATGAAACAGTTGTAAAAATATTGATAAATAGTAATTGTAATTGTGAACAAAACTAAATATATAGAACCAGTGGATCAACAACTTCGACGAAGCAGTGTTCAAGTTCAATCTGCAACATTACCTAAACTTCCATCAACAGAGTCCCTATCAACAAGTGTAAATTTTGCAACTGCTGCACCTCCACTATCTCCAGGTATAAACACAAAGCTATGTTAATATCATAATGGACAATTATTCGAAATTTGTCAGGTGCTTTTTTGACTTTTGTGTAAATTATTACTATTTCTTGTACAAGTAGTTGATTAGCTGTAAAGAACTGCATATTTTTTATTTCTTGTTTGGCTTATATTTTCCTTTCATACTATGCATATTATTATTCAGATTTTTAAGCTCTGAAATGTAATTTTTGTATATTGTATAATCTTCTTTGGCTGATAAATTATTAAATATGTATATTAAATAGATTACTATTATGAATATAAGTTTTAAATAAATAATATTTCTGTATAATAATTACATATAAAACTTATAGTTTATAAGTATTACATAAGTCTAACTTATGCCTAAGATAAATACAATCAAATTTTGTTAAATGTGATCTTTAACACAGATAAAAAAAAATGTGATTAAAAGGTCTAATACGAAGATGCTAACTGCATAATGCGTTATGTTAATGAAGCTATTATATGAAATAATTTTATTTGTATAACATACTGTACTCTGTAATAAATAAGGAACTGTAAACTATTCTTTTTCCAATTCTATAAATTTTTCAATGAAACTTGTGAACTTTTTTATAGAACAATGAGTTTTTATTTCTGTATTATTGGAATTCTATTTGCCAAGCTTGTTATGTGAATGTTTTAAGTTTTATTGTTTTTAAGGCTTCTGGTTTTAATTAATTGTAAATAAAAAGAAGTTATATTAAAATTACTAGAGTGATAATCATAATATTTTATATAATTCATTAAATCATTTATCAACTTTGGGTAAATATTATCGTTTGCATATTTTCCTCATTTTAAAAAACACATCTAATATGAAAATTAAAAAAATATTCATAAAAGTTATTAAAGATTTTAGTTCATAATTGTATTTAATAATTTATTTATATATAACATACATTGTTTTAAATCATATAATTCACATACTAAAATTATGATAAATATAGATATATTCTAAATAAGAACTGTTTAATATTTTTGTTTGTAACTATTTTTGGACATTAATATTTATTGCTAAGTTAGTATTTAATGAATGTAACTGTATTTTTATGTTGTTATAATATCAGTGTTAAATTAATATTTAAAAAAATAATTTGTGAATAATTTAATTGTTATAGGTTTAACAACTACAATGGGAGAAACAAATCAAAAAACAGATAACGCATCTGATAAGGTATAAAATATTTAATGCACTGTTTTAAGACATTGAAAAGGTATTTATATTTTATTTTTGTATAATTTTTAGTCTTTAGATTCTTGTAAGTTAACAAGAAAAGAATCATATAAGGCTCAAAGAAAGAATTACCGGATGGAGAAGAAAAGAGTTGCCAATGAACTCTTAAGTTCGTTTAAAGATCCAACTGTTATTGTTATGAGCGATTGGCTTAAAGTTCGTGGTACATTAAAGAGTTGGACAAAATTGTGGTGCATCCTGAAGCCTGGTTTACTATTGCTATACAAAAGTCCAAAAACAAAAGTGCTCATTTATATTACTTTTAAATAGAGTATTTATTTGCTTCATACATAATTATATTCATATACCTATTACAGAGTAATCACTGGGTGGGAACGGTTTTACTTAATACATGTCAAGTAATAGAACGTCCAAGCAAGAAAGATGGATTTTGTTTTAAATTGTTTCATCCCTTGGAACAGTCAATATGGGCTCCAAGAGGCCCAGAAAAAGAAGCTATTGGTAAATAATGAATTTTCTACAAATGAAAAAATATATTTCTACTTAATTATTTTTATAGGTGCGGTTGTACAACCTTTGCCAACATCTTATTTAATATTTAGAGCACCTTCACAGGCAGCTGGTAAATGTTGGTTGGATGCACTTGAATTATCTTTACGTTGTTCATCTTTAATAGTACGCTCAACAAGTGCATTACCGCGTGCTTTACCACATGATACTACAACAACTCATGAAACTCAGTGGAGTGAAGCAGATTATGAAAAACACTTTGATGAACATGGTAGGTATAACAGAACAATATTTTTTATAACGTATCAAGATGTATGTTATATTACATAAAATGTTAACTTTTATTCTACTATTCCTTTTTTTTTAAGAAATTTACTTGATATAAGAAGTAACATTTCTCTTTTATACATTAATACATTACAATTGACTTTAGTACAAGGACAGCACTCAGAAAAATACTTAATTAAGCTTCATTCATGAAAGTTATTGGTACTAATTATGTTGTTATTGTAATTCCTTTCCTGACTTTTGTCACCTTAAACACTTGCTTTAATATCCACAGTATGCTTGTCTAATTATGCTCCTCAATCACCTACAACACCTCAAAGACGTTTGTTATCATGTCCTCAGCCTTTAACACCTTCTATGTCAAATAATCCTAAAAGTGTTTGTCCTTCACCAACTCCAATGTTTCAGCAGTTATATCATGCAGTAGCATATTGGGAGAAACAATTTTGCGATAAATCTCCACCTGTCGCTGCAGATACAGATATTATTTTGTCTTCGAATACTGTAGACATGTTAGGTGATGGAGATACTTATCCCCATTTTGAATCTTCTATCTCCAAGCCTATTACGTCTTGCACTCGACGCATGACTGTTCCTTCTGTACATGTCCTGGAGTATGATACTCCAACAGTAGTAACGCTAGATCCTATGCACTCCTCACATATAGACCTGGACGACATTAGCCAGCCAGAGAACGGAGTAGCAGCTGATGCAGAAATTAGTGCATCAGACAGTGAATCTGAAGGGTCAGCTAAAGAAGATCAACAAGAAACAATTAACGAAACTCTATATGTTGCGAATGAGCAAGAAGTCCTTGGAGCGGTAAAATAAATTATATTGTATTGCGTCTTATCCATAATTGATACTAGAGTTTTTATATTTGTGTTTGATACAGGCTGGAGAAGTAGTTACAGAATTACAGGAAGAACAAAAATCTTTAATATGGTTCTTGATGAAACAAGTTCGACCAGGCATGGATTTATCGAAAGTAGTCTTGCCGACTTTTATTTTAGAACCTCGTTCGTTCCTAGAAAAACTGGCTGATTCTTATTACCATGCAGATTTATTGTCCCAGTAAGTATAAATTTGTAGATTTTGAGAAACATTTGAATAAAATTATTATATATATATGCTTTGTTTCTTGTTCTTACAGAGCAGTAGTGGAAGATGATGCATTTACACGTATGAAAGGTGTTGTTAAATGGTATTTATCTGGATTTTATAAAAAACCTCAGGGTTTGAAGAAACCATACAACCCGCTTTTGGGTGAAACTTTCCGCTGTTATTGGCAGCATTCTAATGGTTCAAGGACTTTCTATATTGCTGAACAGGTGTACAATTATTAAAATTTTTTAATTTTTTGTAATTATATGTACTTGCTCCATCTTTATTACTACTACATACTTATACGAAACATTTCAATGTTAATAGTTATCTCATCATCCACCTATATCAGGCTTCTATGTTACAAATCGACAAGATGGATTTACTATTAGTGCTACAATTATTGCTAAATCTAAATTTTATGGTAAATATATATATATATATTTTTTCGTTAAAAAAAATGAAACGTTTTGCTAAGACAGTCATTATATGAAAATATACATTCCATTTTTCAGGAAATTCAACATCAGCAGTTTTAGATGGTGTTGCAATACTGACAATGTTGCCCAGAGGAGAAGATTATACAATGACGATACCTTACGCCCATTGTAAAGGTATTCTTATGGGAACATTATCTATGGAATTAGGTGGGAAAGTTCATATAAATTGTGAAAAGACAGGTTATCATACTGAACTAGAATTCAAACTCAAGGTAATATGGAATGTTACATAAAATTAAAATAATAGTCATAAAATTAATTATATGTGTTTGTGTGATTACTCATTCAATAGCCATTTCTTGGAGGTGCAGAACAAATGAATCAAGTTACAGGAGGAATACGTCTAGGAAAAGAAACTCTTGCTATTATATCAGGCTATTGGGATGGTCAAATATTAATTACAGATAAAAGAACTGGGGTATGTTGCTTATTTAGGATTCTATACACAGTAATTAATGGTTAAATTAAACTATGTCAACTAATCTTGCAGCAAGAAAGTGTGTTTTTCAATCCTACTCCAGAAATACGTAAAAAGAGATTGAAAAAGTACACTGTACCTCTAGAACATCAAGGTCCATGGGAAAGTGAGAAATTATGGTACGATGTTACTCAGGCAATTAATGGCGATGATCAAGTTGCTGCTACTGACGCAAAAACTCAATTGGAAGAAGCACAAAGAGAGCGTGCTAAAGAACGAAAACTTAAAGGACAGGAATGGATTCCTAAGCATTTTGTTCAGGTATTAAATAATAATAAAAGAAACTGCTTTCATAAGCTCCTATTTATATTCTGAACAATATAATTTTTTTAATATTATCAGGATATTATAACGGGTAATTGGGTTTATCGACATGCGGATGTTCGACCATGGGATCCTAGAAATGATGTTGTACAATATGAACAAGATTACATAGTGCGTACGAAAACTAGACACAAAACACCAATTATGCGTACTGGAAGTATTGTATCAACTGAACCACAGACACAGGTATAGGAATTAAATAATGTAAATAATACTTTTATTTTGTAAATAAACAAATGTTTGATGAAAACAAAATAATTTATTAGTTTTATTGATGATTACTAATTGTAATACAATTGTAATAATCATTTAAATCAAGATTTTGATTATTTATATCAATTATGCTCTGAAAAAGCAAAAAATAATCGTGAACTATAAATACATTTTCTTTTTTTCATTTTTTCAAAACGAAATAACTAATTTAAAAGTTTATCACTCATGTTTCAGGTTCCACTTCTTCAAGCTGAGTCACGTTCTTCGCTTTCTGTATTAAAATCTTCCAAAAGACAGTTGTCTAATAATTTACCATTAACAGAGACCGCTCATGATTCTGGGAGTTCCTCTGCAGAGGTACACTCAGATTCTAGTCAGTCAGTAGGTAAAAGAAAACGTTCTACAGCTAGGTAAGTTTTTCTATTATTTCTCGATTATAGAATGACGACTAACAATACTTTCCTTAATTTTAAACATGGAAATATTTTTTAAGGATAATGGATCTTATAAAGGACATAGAAAGACAAATGTTAGAACATAGTGATAGACTTAATCATATAAAACACATATTAGAACAACTTGCTATAATACAAAGAGAGCAAGTTTATCAACACCATAGTATAAATATGTTGAAAAGCTTCATTGATACGATTCTTGTTATTATAATAGTTTTCTCTGTACAATACTTTGTAAAAATATGGACCGATGAACCTAGTGGAGGTTGAAGAGTATGATAACAGAATCGTAGTATAAATTGTATATATTATTTATCTTCTCTCAATTCGGATTATCAGCTTTTGCGTCAGGAACAAGCTTTGAAAAGAAAAATCTTAAAATTTGAAGTACCTAATTTACACGTGTTTTTATGGGAGATAATAAAACACGCCGTTTTTAATAGAATACCGCTAAATGGATAGAGTAAAATAATTTAGAACTATTAAAGATATACTTATTCAGGTAATCGTAGTGCAATGTTATTTTATTTATAGCTTTTGGATAGTTTAATTTTTGATTTGTAAGATGGTACATTATGGCTATATAAATGTAAGCTACATTCTCTAGTGATTAATATAACACTTATAGTCTTTGTTAAACGCTCCTCACGCCAGCCATGAACTATACAAGGTAAAAGGAATTTTTTTGAGCTTATCAATAGTAATATTTTGAGCTTATATATAATATTTTATGTGCTAATGCACAAGAAAATAATTATATATTTATTCAGAAATTCTAATGATGTTGTAGTATTTACTGCAGGCGCTCAATAGTAAAATGTATTGATGATAATAATAAGATAATTGTAAAGATATAACGACATATATTATTATAAATTATATTATCTTGGAATTATGGCGACTATAAAATAGGAAAAGCTAATTGCAGTTTAAAGTAATATATAGAATTAATTTTATAGTGCATCAGTATTATTATTTTGATTAATACAATGAAATTCCTAATAAAATAAGTATCAAATATTAAAATTGTGCACATGATATGAAACAAGAGTTACATCCAAATTTTTGCTACATAACTTAAATCATGAATTTATTTTGTGTCATTTGCATCTTCCTGTTAATAAACATATTATGATGCATTTAATATTAGAGCAATACTATGCTTTTATATTTAGAATGAGTTTTATTGATGATTGTTTTATACTTATATAATTTAAAGCATATTCCTAAATATGTTTACAAATGATTGATAAGTTCTTGTAATTTTATTAGACATACTTAAATGTTTACTTTAAAAATAAAGATGAACTTGAAATAAAGATGAAAGAATATATTTAGTAAAATAAAAACAATTTAGACCACAGTAATGCCATTGTTGAAATATCAATTTGTGATGGATAATTTTTTAATTTAACAATATATCATATAAAATTAAAAATATTGACAATATACATACACTTCTCGTCAAAAAGATAGTCCAGGTGTGCTATCTTTAATTTTTAAAGTTTTTCGTCTGTAACGCATAATATCGAAACATTATGAGCTCAGAATATGCGGTTCGTTGAAAATAATTAAAAATATTATAAGATTTATTCTGAGCTCATAATGTTTTGATATTATATTATATTACAGACGAAAAACTTTACACGCGTCATTGAGAAATTAAAGATAGCACACCTGGGTTATCTTTTTGGCGAGAAGTGCATATAATAAATACATTAATAATTCTGTATCAGTTCAAAGCTTCGAATTGACTTTTTAGCTAAGTATAACAAAATAAAACTTTTAAATGGTAGTCAATGTCCTTGTTTATGAAAAAATTACATAAAAATAAAATTTAATTGATGTTTTAATATCTTTACTTTGATTAATATGTAGTGTACATACTTCAATAAAACAAAAGACAGATAAACCTTTGTATAAATAATAATTCATTTATTATTAGTATAAATTAATTTCGTTTATAAAAATAAATTATAAATAATATGATCTATATCTAAATCTAATCTATATCTAAATAATATGATCTATAAAATTTCAATACCACCCTTTACTAATTTTTTATATATATAGAAATTATTTTTCTATAGTAAATATGTATAAATATTTTTAACTGTTACTACATATTTAGTGCAATTTAAATGAATATTATTTTTTTTAAATAGAGGAGTAAAATATTGCTTAATTATTAACATTTTTATTTACATAAAAATTATGAGAAAAATTATATTCAAATTAATGTCCTGTTGCATGAGTTTTCAGCCACTTAAAGCACTACAATAAAAAGAAATCATTAATCAAAGTTTATATCTTGAGTGAGTAAGATATAATAATAACAAATAGCTTTTGTTGGAAAAAATACGAGAAAAAATACAAAATACAAATACTATTTATTAGTATTTGTAAACTGTAAACTTGGTACTATATGAACAAAGGTGTCATGTTTTATGCTTGTTTAATTTGTTTTAACATGCTTTACAATATAATAAGTAAAAATTGTTAAAATTCGTTAAATACGTTAAAATTCAAAAGTGATCTTGAGTTCAATATAAAAAAATTTGTTTTCATTATTATACAAAATTTCAGAAATGTCTATTATTGTTAAATGTTGTTCACTTAACACAGATAAATTTTGGTTATTAACTCTTTTATTCAATGAAAAATCATAAATTATGAGAACACGCTGTGTATTTCGTATTTCTTAGAGCACTGCAATTAGCTGTAAAATTTATTTTTGTTGTGTAAATTCACATACCCATTAAATGTTGAATCTGATTTAAATTTATTTAGTCGGTATTTATAAAAGACAGAATGACCGATATTCAAGTATGGCTTTAAAATCTACACCATACTTTGCACAAAAGTTCGTAATTGTTTCCTATTTTTATTGTTTAACTTTCTATATAATACAATCCTTTATAATAATTGAGTGATTTTTGATATCTCAAAGCAAAAATGTTAAAAGTAAACTAAGAAGTATAAGTATTGTTAAATACATAAGCACCTTCTAATAATCTTTTATGATATTTATTATGTCGTGAAATGCTTTCCGTAGTAGAGTACCTGATATTTTTATATTGTAACTTATTTAAGTTCAAAAGATTATAAATATTAATTCGTTGTGATAGTTCGATGTGTAGTGTTAAGATTATCAAAACACGAAAGAAGCTATCGTGGAGTAATTAATAATATTCTTATGTTATATATTCAGACATATAAACTTTATATGTATAAAGAATTATATATATATATATATATATATATATATATAAATAATTAAAAATATATACTACTTCAGGTTTCTTAATGTATGCATACATATGTATCTTTTTAAATATTTGCATAATTTTGATTTATTGTTTGTATTAAGAATAAATCGATATTGTAAGTAATATATAATATAATAATAAATAAAGAACATACTAAAAAACAAAATACAAAAATAACATTTACAAAACAATCTGTTTAATATTTGTAAGAAAACACCAAGGAAACACAACGTGAAAACGTTCAGCTTTTTTATTATGACGTAACTTATAAAAATGCGGATAATATAAAGTTGCCTTTTATGAGTACATATAAATCTTAATATCTACTATAATAATTTTTAATCTTCCAAGTAATAATGTGCCGGAATAGACAAAATTATCAAAAAAAGAAAAACAAATATTTTTGGTTCATATAAAATGAATCTTCATAACGATTACTCTTCTAAATCACGTGAGATTATTCTTCACAGTATCTTTTATCGATTCTAAATTTTTTTTATTTCATTGAATTGAACATTCATCATTCTGTTTATGTAAAAATCAATTAGGTGGTCATATTTCCATAACACCACAGATGATACTTGCAGCGATAAAAAGACTTCACTTACGTAAAGTTTATGTTCCATCGAATCTCATTAGCGAATATTTACGTGGTTCCTATCCAGTTGAAAATAATGTAAGAATGTTCACCGAAGAATTAAAGAGAAAATTGGATTGTGCTGTACGTGTTGGATTAATATTAAAACATGGAGAGGATTTGTATTATTTACCTACTCTAAGGCAAAAAGCAAATGCACTTAAAACAGCGTTCACTGCATTTTGGGAGATATATAAAAACGTAATTATAAATATATCATTATGCGTCCTACAAATTTTATTCAAAATTAAATAATTTTTTAAATTCATATTTATAAATTTGTATTATATCGTATTTAATTTAAAAAATTTCTAATATTTCTTTCAGTATCCTAAATTCCGTATCTCAAAAGCTAGGAATCAGAACAAAAATCATTTTACATTAAAGGAACGAACTAAAAACAGGAAATATTCCAAAAATAATGACAACCATAGTAAATAAAGACATAATGAATTTTAAATGAAACCTTATTATATAGTAGTAATAGTAACCTTCTGATCATAAAGGGGACTCGATTTGCAATTATTTTTCCTAGTGCCTTGCATTTTTATTTAATTATTTAAATACACATTCATACACTCACATACAAAACCTTATTTTACCCTTTTCCTTTTTACTATTACAAATCTATTGTCTATCATCTACCTAATTGTCATTGGGTCACTCGAAAAGTTCGTTCCGATTTTTAAGGACAATTCAAACGCGGCACATTTAAATTTCGAAATAGATTTATTGAATTATACAGATACAATTGTGTAAGTGTCATTTTGTTCTACAACCTTTCTCCATCTTTCACGTGACTTTAATATTATATCCTCCTAGAACTTGTCAGATTTTTCGACGAAAAACTTTTCGATATGATTTCTTACGTCGACCAAAGAGTTAAAGTTTTGGCAATTTCTGGTGAATACGGTAGGTGGGGTAGCACATTCCAACCAAGCTCCAATAGCTTTTGTCGAATAGTTAAAGACACATGAGGTCTCGCATTGCTCTGATGAAACACGACGTTCTTCCGATTCACTAGTTCTGGACGTTTTTGTTCAATTGTTGTCTTTAATTCGTCTAATTGCGAACAATACCTTTCCGAATTTATCGTCTGGTTGTTTGGTAGAAGCTTGTAATATAGAATTCCTTTCTAGTTCCACCAGACACAGAGCATAGCTTTCTTCAGATGAAGACCGGCTTTTGGGATGGCTAACACTAAACTTACTGTGACCACTTAAATGATCGTTTTTTGAATTTCGTTTAGAATTTTTTATATACAACGTTATTGCACTGCCATTTAGCTTCACGACTTTTCTTATAATATACGTACAATGAATTTTTTAATATTCACTTCTTTTCTTATTGTGTGTTTTGTGAGAATAATATGTAATCCGTCTTACCTATCACGAATGGTCATTTGACTGGTTAAACGATTTATATTTCTTTTTAATAGTAGTCTCTCGAAAACTCAATTCTGAAACTGAAAGCGGAAGGAAACAGAGGCATTTCGAGTGTTGGGAATTAAATGGGATCTATCTACTGCAATATTATATGCATTTATTTCACTGTAAAATCCAAATCTAGGAGATGGCCCTCTACAAGTATTTTTCAATATCATAATCGGGATAAATGCATGGATTTTAAATAAAGAAATCACAGGAGAAGGAATTTCGAGGCAAGAATTTTTATTTCAATTACTAATATTTTTTAATACTATTTTTAATAATTTTTAAAACTATTTTTTTTTACTATCAAACTGGCTATTATCTTCATTCTATATTAAGAAATACAAATTGTTTTAAAGACCGGTCATAGTAGGAATATGTATACATGAAGTCCTTGTAAATTTAGTGCTAAAGGTGATTCATTCTACCTTCCCCCAACATCTTTATCCATTTTTGGTAGCTCCATTACTTACTTCATTACTTACCCATTACTTACTCTATAGAACGAATGCTACTAGAGCTAATTGTCTAATTTACCTATTTAACTAAGTACCTCCTCTCTCTTTATTCTTTCCTTTCTTTTCTTCTGCAATTTTCTCACCCAGTCTACATGTCTCCTATTTTTTCCTTGTTCATGAACTATGTCTCCTGTACTAATCTTCCTTTCTAATTCTATTTCTTGTTATGCACTTGCATATTTGATCCCATAGAGTTCACATTCCCTTCTTTCACTCTCTTATTAATATCTATTCTACCTCTCCATCAATCCTTATCTTACTTGTGCCAGTAATTACTGGCTTCCCTCCTTTATTTCCCTACTTTAATATTCCAGCATTTGCACCACTCTTATATATTTAGCTTATATATTTATATCTTTAGTTATATGTACTTTAATTTCCTGTCTCATGTGTCTTCCTGTGTTCCTTAAGAGATTTGTAGAGCAATATTATTTATTTTGAAACATACATGAAAACATTGGTTTGACTTTTAATAAAAATGTATTAAAAAATCTTAAGAGGCTTGGAGACATTTGTAGAACAGTATTTATATATTCTTCGATATTATGGTGAGTTCTAAAATTATTACATAGATTATACAATAAAGTACCATTATATAAATGTGCAACTTTGATCTGTGGATAAGGATATCCCAAAAGTGTATTCAAATCCATAGTATGTTTCAAACAACTTTGGAACTCACCAAAAACGTGTACTATATGTATATCAAACTTGTCTGTGTTATATAATGTTTCATCTACTTCAAAAAGTGAAATAAAAAATGGTGCTGCTAGTACATAGTCGTCATGAACGATTTCATTGTAGGCTTCGTGAATTGTACTATTTATTATACAACATGGGTTATAATTGCTTTCTTTTCTTTTCTGCTTTATAGCTTCAATTGTTTGCTTATATTTTTTGTTAAAAGCCATTATACTTCTATATTTCCCAACTTTGAAATCTACTATATCAAATAACATACAAATAAATATAGAATATAAATAACATTTGTAAGATATAGGACATTCTTGTTGATGTATCCAATATTTGATGCATCCAACATACAATATCCACTTTGGTGGAAGTTCATTTATACAATCCATATCTGTAATTCCTAAAGTATTGTTTAAAATCTCTCTTTGAGTAAGTAATGAGACATCACTAAGATTGAATGAAGAAGATAGTCCAAAAATATTCATTTCTGTAGCCTCTAACTTATAGCACATAATCTTTTTATCTTCAGTTCTCATTAAGTATTTTATATAATTTATATTATTGTCTATCATTAATTTTAGAATTTCAATGATGATACTAAGGATTTTTAGGCTTACTTTGATGTTTGGAGGATAACGAAAATCTTCTACTTGTATGGGGCATACATATAAACGATGAATTATTAAATCTAGAAAATATGATGGATATTTACCAGTACGAAATTCATTTACAAACCATATAGGCAAATCACTAATAGTTGCAGTGTTAGACATTAATTCAGACTCAGTAAATATCTTTGCTATTTCAATTTCATCGTCTTCTTCCTTATTTTCTTCAGTTGATTCATTATATCTTCCGCAAACTTCTTCTATGTATGTCAATGTATTGATATCTCCATCAAATTTAAAGCTTCTATTGAAGTAATAGGTATTTACATGAGTAATATAATCTCTTGAGAAACCTAAAGTTATAAGTATTTCAGCATATTCATCTCTATAGCCATTTATACTCATCTCTATTAAATCCAACATTTTTTGTCGCATAGGCATAATTAACCTACTTAAAATTTCAATAATTGCATCATGCAAGCTATATTTACTCAACCATAGCAAAATTTTATTGATACAATACTGTTGTCGGGTATAATAATTCACACTTGATGAATCTAACTTTAAATAGTGGAAGAAGTTTCTAAATATACCAGGTTCTACATAGTCATTGCCTAGAAGTATTGAAGCTAATATCATCTTTGATTGATCTAATCCTGTAAAATATTTGAATAATTTCTCAATCTTATAAATTTTACAAAGTTTAATATAACCATTTCCATCTGAATTTTTAATTACATCAGTTTGTAATGTATCAAATGGTATATATAATGATCCATATATATAAAAATCTGAATCATTGCTGAGAACTGGACAATTTAATATCTTTGCTACTGATGCTATAATATCATCAGCTTCAAAGAGACACCGTACAATTCGAACATTTTTTTCTTCCATTACATCAATAAAAACTTTTTGCTTTAGCAAAGGAAGAATTGTTTGTGGATAATTAGTTTTGAATGCAGAAGTTGGCAATATATTTAGTCTGCTTTTCATTCTTCTAATAATAGTTTTGAATTTTTTACTTTCAACAGCACCATCAAGAAAGACTAAGGGCGTTACATTACACTTTAATAAGTCATCAAAGAAATCTGATACATATTGCTTATAATTATCGTAATCACCGCCAAATGTCCAATTGCACTTTCTATATAATAAACAATTAATATTATTTCCATCAATTACTAAATACGTATCACGTAATTTGTAGTGCTCTAAAAAATTAAGTCGATGCTTCTTTATATAAGCAGTTAATCCTGGAATACCCATTATCTTCCTGCTTTTTTTGGTCACACGTTAAACTAATAAATTTACAATATGTTAACAATATACACACATATATCATGCTTACGTAAAGGATACTTACTAAAAACATAACAAAATTTCTGGTATTCTGTATTCAATAATACAATAATACAATAATACAATAATAAAAATTAATACATCATGGCACAACAAAAAATAGAATGTGAAATATTCCAAGTAACTTCTGAAATAATAACAATAATGTTCAGCCTGCTGTTACTGAATTTTATATCTGTTACACAGATATAAATACTTAGAAACATTAGTCATAGATAAAGTCCATTCAACAGGTCGAGATATAGTTAAGTATGTATTGTATTCTCGACCAATCGTGGGGAGACGCAATTGTCACGTAAAATAACTATTACGTCATGCGGATTACCATAGATCATATTCTTAACTATTGTCGACTTAAAAACGTCGAAAAAAATCGGAAGGCGTTCAGAACTTTTCGAGAAGTTGAACCTTCAACACATCTCATATTTCGCGCATTGCGTATCAACCAAAACGCAGTTACACGCGCATTACTTATCAACCAAAACGCAGTTACATTATTTTTGTTCCATTTATATCTTTCTAGTTAATAAGTTGTTGAAATAAACATTAATTTATTTGTGTTAATTCTGTGGAATTTCATTAAACTACCCTTATTATCATAATCGAAATAAGGGGATCGATCAGTTCGTGGCGTCGATTATTTAATCGTAACGGGAACTTACAACTCTCGTTGACGTGCTATCTCGCGATCGCGTCTCTCCGCGAACGGTCGAAACAATAACAAAATAAAAAAAAGAAATTTGAAGTGAAAAATAAAAAAAAGAAAACTTTATTTTTTTTCTAACAACAATCCACTTTACAATCCACTTCCGAACTCTAGGCGTGACTTTCTAAGACTGACTCTTATGATTTTACTTTCGATCGGATCCGATTACTTCCTTTTGTCATCCCTTAACATCCCCACCGTCCATGCATTTGCTAGGCCATGCATTTGCTCTTTGTTCTAACACCTTCGGTGGAAGGACCGTTGGGATGTTGATGGTTCATTAGGCACTTCAGCGATGTACATCGTCGCCGAGTGCCGCCACATCTTTATCTCCATCGTCAGTCCGTCGGATTTGAAGTATACCGATCGTGACACAATCGCGAGGAGAGATGTCAATGGGAGTCGTAAATTCCCGTTACGATTATGATAATCGACACAACGATCGATCCCCTGATTTCGGTTAAGATAATAGGGGTGATTCAGTTAGTATAACAATGTGATTCACAGAATTATAAGCTATATATTTCCAACATTTAAGTTACACTGTTGAGTAGGTATAAATCGTAGATAACAACTTGTCGCAGAGCAAGGCTCTTATAATTGAATTTAGTATGTTAGTAGACGTAGCACTAAAGGATGCTTAATAGAGGAGGTCAATGTTTGACAATACCGAGAACCGACTTAGATAGTTGATGTGAGTTGTGATTGAAATTGAAGCCATTCTTAATTCACGCCCACTGACTCCCATATCATCCGATCCGAAAGATCCCCTTGTCCTCACCCCCGGTCATTTTCTAATCGGTGACACACTAAAAAGTTTACGGGAGCGTGATTTTAGGACAGTTCCATCAGGCCGGTTATCAAGTTAGCAGCGTATTCACCAGATTAAACAGCACTTCTGGAGCAGGTGGTATCGAGAGTACCTCAACGAGCTGACCCGCCGCAACAAATGGAATAAGGGCAAACATGACATTCGTGAAGGCACCGTAGTAATCCTCAGAGAGGATAACGTACCATCTATGCAATGGCCTTTGGGCCGCGTAATCAAGGTCCATCCAGGAGTCGATGGAATCATACGGACCGCTACCGTGCAGACGGCAACAAGTATCCTGAACCGTGGTGTCAAAAGACTGGTCCCCTTACCCATTCAACCAGATCCAGACGAGTCCGAACACCCACACGGAGCGAAGGAAATTCACAAACGACGCACCTGACTCCACAGCCAGAATTTGATCGGTGCCCTCTCAACGGGGGGAGGATGTTACGTCGCCTAAAACATCTGCACTCCAGCCTTCGCGACCAGATAGCCAACGGCCTGCGTAACGTCATTCCGACTCTCAATAAACCTAAGAACCCACCATAACTTTTCACTTTTCACTATATTGTGTCAACATGTGTCTTCAGTCAATCCGTTTGTCCTGAAGAATTTCTTAAGCCTAAAAGTATTTTCGACGCACATCTGATTTTTTAGAGAGGTCCTTGGGTTTATCAGGTGCACTTAAAAACACGGAGAAAGCGGGTACGCACCTATTAGGAAAAACCGAATAACTATCTAATAAAACAAGCTCGTTCACATCATCAGCATCGCAACAATCTGATTCAACGCCATCAAACGCCTTGAATCAGACAATCGCTCGCTTGATTCTCTGGATCAACAGAAGGATGAAACCTTACCAGACGACATGCCGTCTCCTACTACACTATCGCCGAAATGGGCCACACCGACGAGTGGCCTGAAACAAAACACTATACTCGTTGATTTCATTGCAGCCTACAAGGTGGATCATTTAATTAATTTCGATGGTTTTCAGAACAGCCCATTGGATCTCAACACTTGTCCACAAAGGCCACAGAGCGCTATATCGGACAAGTCTTTGATCACCATCAACTTCCTGGAGAGCATGGTAGATCAATATCAACAGTCGAAACGAGAACGAGAAGGTCAAGAGAAGGCGCAATACTTTCAAGGGTCCGGTGTTTCCGAAACACAATACAAGGAAAGCGGAACTCTCCCAATGTCTTGCCACGAAACAGTCGACGACACGTGGAACAGAACAAACTCTGTTCAAGAGGAATTAGAGGTTCTTGACGAGGAAGAGAGTGATCATCCAGAAACCTCAGACGCATATCTTGCCGTTGACAAACGATTAATGAAACGCATCGGGGACGGTCATGCCCCACTGGAAGCTTACAAGAGAATTGCGACGGAGGACTCCGACGGCAGTACAAGGTGCAACGTTACGCTGATTGAGCGTGGAAGCAAAAGCACCAACAAAATAACTCAATTCGTACACATCATCGGGGGGAGCTCAGTCTCCCAATCAGCTCTAAAACTCCGCGTCGTGCTTGACGAATCTATAACAAGCACCACCAGAGTTCTTTTCAACGGTACCTCCTGGATCGAGGCGTTACCTGATACTTCATGGGACGAGATATCCTACGACACTTCCAGGACCAAGGTGATCCACGACAATTCTTGGATCGTGAATATCAACTGGAAATGTCTCAGAAAAACAGAGGACGACGATGATCCAAACTACGAGGTAGACAACATGCTTTCGACGCAACAATCCTTAGGCCTGGCCATCAATTTTCCCTGGCAGCTATGGCATCTACGGACAGCAACAACTCATGCGGAGACGAGCATCTTGGACCGAGATGCAAAATCTTCCCATTCCAGATCCGAACCTAACCAAACGGAAGGTAAGATGTCTCCGATTTTGTCTTTAGCGGATAATTGGACCACGCCGGTCCAACCACCAAGCATCATCAAGAAGGCGAGATACGAATGGGTCAGCGGGGAGAGCCCTGTCCCCCAATCAACCATAGACCTCCTTCACGTCTTCATTGCGCAACCACATACGGATTTCACGTGCCTTTATGAAATCGGCGAGATGCACAACGACACCTCCTGAGACGAGGATTTCCACGATACTTCATGGACCGAGATGTTTCACGACACTTCCTGGTTCGTGAACTTCAACGGAAAATATCTAGGTAATGCCGAGGACCACGGCGATCCAGAATACAGGAAGGACAACATATCCTCAACGCACCTGCCTTTCGGCTGTATCATCAACTTCACCCTGGCGACAACGGCCTCATCCAGACAATCACAATCGTGGATCGAGGTGCCACACAGCTCGTCCAACTATCGAGCCAACGCGATCCAGCAGAATACGGACAATCAACAATCAACAAAGAGTTGGACGGCAGCTCCAATTAATTCTACCTTTACAGAAATTTTGATCGGTACCCTCTCAACGGTGGGAGGACAACTTCTCCTGAAACATTGCATTTTATAAAATATGTTACATCGGGCGACCCTCTACCTAGACCAGGCCATACGCCGCGGGCCAGACGGGAACCAGATGTCCACTCATCCTTGCTGCGTACCCTCAATAGTCTTAAGGACTCATCATAAATCCCACTAATTTGCTAGCTAAGGCCCTTCAAACCCAACAAATATCTTTTTTCCGAATCATTTTCTACGGATTGACGAGGGAAAGTTAGTTTTTCTCACGTACGATGCTTCCGTACTTCAACTTTCTATCGAGGGCGGCTAAGACTCTTCCTAGTCCACCAATCTTCGTTTATCCAATCAGAAGCAATGTATGCTGCCCTCACTTTCCTGACCAAAAATGTCAACAAATCCGATGGTCCTGTGCGCTAGACACACCCATCGCTAGCTTTCCTCCGACATAGCATCGTCACCCAACTTACTTCTTCTACACTGCTAGAAAAGTCAACAACTAAGTACAAAATCTAACGCTTAACGTCTAAGTCTAAGCACAACGCTAGAGGAGTATAACTCACATCAATTATCTAAGTCGGTTCTCAGGAATTTCGAACATTCACCTCCTCTATTAAGCATCCTTTAGTGCTACGTCTACTAACATACTAAATTCAATTATAAGAGTCTTGCTCTGGTGTGCATATCTATCTTACCTCCGTGCGACAAGTTGTTATCTACGATTTATACCTACTCAACAGTGTAACTTAAATGTTGGAAATATATAGCTTATAATTCTGTGAATCACATTGTTATACTAACTGAATCACCCCTATTATCTTAACCGAAATCAGGGGATCGATCAATTATGATGTCGATTACTATAATCGTAACGGGAATTTACGACTCCCGTTGACGTCTTTCCTCGCGATTGCGTCTCCACGCGATTGGTCGAAAATACAGTATTTATTAGAGAAATAATATTCAAAATCAATTTTTTTAAAAACAAAGCCTTGTATGATAAAATTTGATTCCTATTTCTTATAAATTATACCCTTTACAATTGTCCCATGTAACCTGTAAGTTACAAAATAAAGGATAAAATGAGATGAAGAAATGAATCTCATATAATTATTAATAACAAATACAAATTATAGTTGTATTACATTACCATCCTCTTTATTTTTATGTATATTGAAGATATAATAATTTATTCTATGAAAAATATTAATTCAATTAAGACTTAAATTCTAAATACATATCAAAATATACTTGTAAAGATCAAATATATACATACATTAGTACATAGTATAAAAACATTACATACACTACATGTGATACAGTACAGAATTAATCACAGAGAATTCCGTTTATATCAACTACATTTACTTCAATGAAACTTTATTGAATACCTGATTAGACAAACATTGGACATTGTATGAACAAAACAAAAAAAATACTATTCATCCCCTGGTATATAAATGGAATTCTACTGTAATATTGAATGAAAATATGCATTATACATGGTTGAGTATAGAAAAGCGATTACTTGGATCATAACATGCTTCATTTAAATCATCATCTGCACTAAAATATTCAGAATCAATTTCAGATGAAATACTTTTTTTAATCTTTGGATGTTTAGGTTTTGTTCTATGTTTTTTACGAAGATTAGTTCCATTCTGAAACTTAAATGGAAACATTGATTTGACTTTTAATAAAAATGTATTGAATAATCTTAAGAGACTTGGAGACATTTGAAGAACAATATTTATGTATTCTTCAATATCATAGCGTGTTTTAAAATTATTACTCAGATTATACAATAAAGTACCATTAAATAAATTTGCAACTTTGGTCTGTGGATAAGGATATCCCAGAAGTGCATTCAGATTCATAGCATGTCTCAGACAACTTTGAAACTCTGCAAATACATGTACAGTAAATCTATCAAATTTTTTTGGATTCTTATATAATTCTTTATTCATATTAAAATAAGAGATAAAGAATGGTGCTGCTAATACACAGTCATTATAGTCAATTTCATTATAGGCTTCTATGATTGTACCATTGTATTGATTACCACATAATTGATTCATTGTATAACATGAATCACAATTATTCTTTTTCCTCTGTTGCTTCACAGTTTCAATTAATTGACAATATCTTTTCTGAAAAGTATGCATGCTTCTGTATCTTCCAATTTTGGAATCAACTATGTTAAATAACATACAAATAAATATGGAATATAAATAACATTCATGAGATAAAGAACATTCTTCTTGATGTATCCAATATTTAATACATCCAATATACAACATCCATTCTGGTGGAAGTTCATTTATACAATCCATATCTGTAATTCCTAAAGTATTGTTTAAAATCTCTCTTTGAGTAAGTGATGGGATATCTCTAAGATTGAATAAAGAAGGTAGTCTAAAATTATTCATAGTCTCTGTACTTTGTAACTTACAGCATATAATCTTTTTATTTTGTGTTCTCACCATATATTTCATATAACATATTCTACTAATTATTGCTGATTTTAAAATCCCAAATATAACACTAATAATTTTTAAGCTTACTATGATACTAGAAGGATAACGATAATCTTCCACCTGTACAGGACAAACATATATATATCGAACTATTAAATCCATAAAATATTTTGGATATCTGCCCATAAGAAATTCGTTTACAAACCACATAGGCAATTTACTAACTACATTTTGAGGCACTAGTTCAGTCTTACTACATATATTTGCTATTTCAATTTCATCATCTTCATCTTCTTCTTCGCTTGATTCATTATTTCCTTCTTTATAAACTTCTTCTATGTATGTCAATGAACTGATATCTCCATCAAATTTAAAACTTCTATTCAAATGATATGTATTTACATGAACAACATAATCTTTTGAAAAACCTAGAGGTAAAAGCATCTCAGCAGATGCATTTGTGTAGCTATTTATATTGATCTCTATTAAGTCTAATATTTTTTGTCGGACAGGCTTAATTAATCTACTTAAAACTTCAATGATAGCTTTGTCCAAAGTGTAATTGCTCAGCCACCTCAAAGTTGTTTCTATACAACATTGTCGATGATTATGCTTTTTTCTTGATGCTCCTCTTAGCTTCAAGTGGCGAAAAAAGTTCTTGAACGTATTACGTTTTACATAATCATTACCTAGTAATATTGCAGCCAGTGGCAACATTGATTGATGTAGTCCTTTAAAAGATTTAAGCAAGTTCTCAACTTTATAAATTTTACAGCATTTCATGTAACCATTTCCATTTGGATTTTTAACTACATAAGTATCTAATGTATCAAATGGTATATATAATGTTCCATATATATAAAAGTCAGAGTCATAGCTAAGTACTGGACAATTCAAGATCCTTGCTATTGATGCTATGTCATTGTCAGCTTCGAATAGACATTGCACGTGTCTAATATTCTTTTCTCTCATTACATCTATAAAAACTTCTTGTAACATTAAAGGAAAAAATTTCATGTTCCTTTGATTGAGTGGAGAAAATGACCATGCAGCACGGATTTTCTGTTTAGTTCTTTTTATAATAGTTCTAAATTTTTTATTTTCACTACCACCATCAAATAAAACCAGAGGTGTTACTTTACATCTTAATAAATCATTAAAGAAGTCTGACACACACTGCGCATAATTATCATAATCACCACCAAATGCACAATTACATTTTGCATACAAATTATATATTGAGCAACAAACACTGTTTCCATCAATTACCAAATATGTATTGTGCAATTCATAATACTCCAGATAACGGTCAGAACGATTGTTTATATAAGTAGTTAATCCAGGAATTCCCATTATGAATTTTTTTCTCTACACTTTTTTGTAAGTTCAATGTCACAAATTAAACATACTGTATATTAAAAGTCATTCTCTGCATACTGTATGATTTTATCTTTATGTACATACTAGCAATATAGGTTATGTGAAAAGAACACGTGTCTTCCGCACGAACAGTTTTATATTACACAATTCCGATGAAAATGTAACGAAGAAATACCATTTTTATTCCTATCTTCAGTTTTCAATTTTTATCACATATATATGAATGAAGTTAGGTTTGTACATTTCTCTTCAAGAAATCAATGCTGCTTTGTGACTTATAATTGGCTTATAATAGCTTACAAAAAGGTTATACAATTTATATTACATTTTATAATGAAACATGTATAATGTTTGTGAAAAAATAAGGTTATTAAGGTGAGAATATTTATATAATATTTTATTATTTATAACAGATACAAATTCTAATTTTATTACATTACTACTCTCTTTATTTTATATTCTAACACTCAAAATGTAATAATTTATCTTATACAAAATATTTATGTTGGAAACTATACTAAATCTACGTATTACGAAAGATATAATGCAATTTGTGCTTTTTATATCATGCACTTAGAAATGCTTTACTGGAATGATTCAGTTTGCAAAACCCAATTTGTAGCCTCTTTATATATTATTTATAATTTTGCTGAAAAAGACGAAAAAACAAAAGCTTATATTAAAAGTTGTTATTTAAATAATTAAATACATATATAAGCAGATTAAAGGCAAAATTAAAAATTACTTTATAAGAATTATCTACAAACAAGTCGAATTTATTATTATTTTAAATAAATATTAAGTATATATGGAATATATACATGTGCAGAAAATGTATTATGTGAAGATATACTTGAGATCTATAAATATGATTATATTTTAACGTTTAATATTGTACTATATAATTACTAAAAAGATACTAAAAAATTTAAAATACTATACAATTGTTACTTGCTCCAGAAAAATCATGTTTAGCTTTAAGTGCCTTATCCCTTTCATCCCATAATGTAAGTCCATCACAAGCACAGATCTTTTTTGTATTTTGAAATAAGCCAGATGAACGAGCAATTATACCACAGGCCAGTCTAAAACATACATGAATGTTAAATATAACAAATCGTTATATGCATCATAATAATGTCACTGTAGTATTTACTTATTTCCACTATTTCCATGTATTTTAGATTCTGGATCAGCACCTCTTCCTAAATCATCTGGTTTTTCTGTTATAATTAAGGATCTTCCAATAACATCAGGTATTTTTACAAGTTTATCTATTATTCTAAAAGTAGCTCTACCAGAATCATTGACCATTATATTTCCCAAATCTCCAACATGCTGTATAGTAAAAATTTTTTTATTTCAAGATACTAACTATTAACCATAGAGATTTCCTTACAATATGAACACAAATCGCAATATTTACCCGTCTAAATGCATCATCTTCAGGTCCACCATGTAATGTATTATTTGGGTTGAAATGTTCTCCAACACTAAAAATGTGTCATAAAATATCTCAAATAAAAATAGAAAAGATGGAAAACAAAAAATAAAAACTTTAAATGCCCACCTATCACATCCTTGAGAGATATCACCACATTCATGAATGTGCATGCCATGTTTACCAGGTGCTAAACCATCAACTGTTCCATCTATAAGACATCCATCAGGAGTTTCTGCAAATCTTATTACACCCATTATTTTATTATCTACGGTATATCCTGAATTCCCTCCTAACATCGCAACTGCACTAGAACTATCTGTAATGTAAAATATTGCTCAATTTCATTTTTTAGAAATATTATAATAATATAATACATTATATTACTATATTATTACCTCCATATCCCTTTAAAACAACTTTTCTCCCAGTCTGTTCAATTTTTTCTTGAATTATAGAATATGGTAAATTTGTTTCAACTATAACACTTCCTTTTTCTAATGATATATCAATATTTTTAATTCCATTTACGCCAATTAAAGTGTTCCGTACCGAATCAACGCATTTTCGACAAGTCATTTCCACCGCAAATTCGATCTAAAATTATAAAAAATACTTATTACTATAATTGTATAATATTTATTTTTCAATTATTTTTATTATTTACTTTTGCTGTAGTCATTTTATATAATGTCTTTACGAGCAAAATCAGTAATTTTTTTCTCGATATTGCGAAATGAGATAAATTTATCCTCACTGATTTGAGGTTATGTTTTTCGCAATATGATACAGTTATATGATACTTTTACGTTAAGTGAATGGTCGAAATTATGCCGGTAAATAGGAAAGGCATGATACCATTTTGTAAGATGCTTTTAGTAAATTTTTATGAAATTATACATAAAAATATATAACATTTATATCATAGAGGATAAAAGATATTTCAAATTGCATTCGGCAGATATACAAATAATAAATTGATAATATTTCTTTGTATACAGATATAAATATAGTAATTTCCATAAACATATTATTAATAATCTGTTTAAAAATTTCTCATTATAGGCGGTAACAATTATTTTTATCAATTAAAGTCATCAAAATCACCCTCTAACTAGTAGTATGTACTACGTTACATGAGATAATCTGCATATTCTACCTAGTTTTATTTAATATAATTTGTGAAATAAAAGTTTCACTTATATGTTTCACGAAAGGGATGAAGCGAAATGTGAGTCTAAAACTTGTTAACTTACGCATACAATAATAAAGATATGAATTTTTATCATTTAAATAAAAATAAAACCTTCAACTAATTTCCTCATAAGTTTCTGGATATTTCTACTATTGATTAATATACAGGAGTATAAAAACTGTTTCCAATGTATACATTAAAATCTACTTTTTAAATAAATGCATGCAGGTTTTCACTAATACATTCTAGTAAGTAACGGATTTTAAGTTTTTACTATCGCATTCCTACGGTATATTTTGTCACGATAGTTTGCGTGTTTGCCACACGGTCGCTTTACTCCCAAGCTTTCTATTTTAGATATGGACAGCCACCATATCTTATTTGTAAAACTAGAATTTTGCAAAGCAATTGCTAGCAGTGATTCGCTATATTTAAAATTTTTCTTCGGTAAAATTCTATCTTGGCAAAATAAGATTATGCATTTTGATTAGTTTTTCGAGGCAGAATTACATTGAAGGTAATAACTCTTTTTTAAAAGTTAAAAGTACAGTGCAACAATGTGGGCTATCAATACTGTAGCAAGGTTTTAAGGCTTCAAATGAATATAAGCAATACAGAAAAGAGAACTAACGACTGGAAAATTAAGTGAAAAAGAATAGGAGTGAAAATAAATTGCATCCAATCGTGATTTTTTGACTATCGATAAGTTATCTGAAGGCATGTCCGTGACTTTTGCTCAACGCGGCAGGCCGCCACCGAATCCTGCTCAAATACAGAAGGTGATGAATATCATATATTATCACTAATATTGTATTCTACTAGTTTTCTTGAAATTTCATTCTTTTTGTTACATGGTTTTATAATCTATAATGTTATGATATTTTACAATATTGAATTAATCATTTATATGAATAAATTTGTTGATATAGATGCTTGATGAAAACAGTCAACTTATACAAACAATACAAGAATATCAAAATAAAGGAAAAGCACAAGAATGTATACAGTAAGTGATAAATGTTTTTAAAGTATATGTAAGTTATATTAGTATATTTATAATATGATTTTTTTTTAGATACCAGCAGATGTTGCATCGCAATTTGGTATATTTGGCATCCATTGCTGATGCAAATCAAAATATACAAGCATTGCTACCAGTAAGGAATATTTTAAATATTAAAGAAATATTAAGGTATAATACCTAAGTTAGAAATATATTAATGTTATCTTTGTTTCTATAATTAGCCTCCACAAGGGATCCCTAATGGACCCCAACATGGTATGATGAATCCACAGGGCATTCCTAATGCTCCCACAGGATCAAGTGGACCTGGAGGTGATATGCCTCCAAATACTCAACCGACATTACCAATGTCAAGCTTTAGCCAAGGACAACCAATGACACAAGGTGGATACCGTGGTCCTGTTATGCCTGGACAAGGACCTATGAATAGTATGTTATGTTTCAATATAATATAAAATTTTTAGAAATTAATGTTATCTTTTTACTCTAATATACTATTATTTCAAAGGACCACCTGCTGCACCTGGACCACAACAATATAGAGGACCTCAGGGTTACCCTCAACAACCTTCTCAACAAAGTTATCCTACGCAATATGCCAATCAAAATCCAGGTACCAATTATCAAGGACCACAGGGATCTGCATATACTCCAGGTCAACCAAATCAATATGGACCACCAAATACTTCCCAACAACAAGGATACAGCACATCAACGCAACCGAACTATGGTCCTCCAACTACCGTGAATAGTTACGGTCCTCAACCAGGTGGATATCCACCACCAGGAACAACTCAGCCTCCTACAGGATATGGTCCACCACCACCGAATCAACAAGGCTATCCTCCTTCTAATCCTTCTCAACAAAATTTCCCGTCAAGCGGACAACAGCAACAGCCTGGTCAATATGGTAGTCCTAGCCCACAACCAAATTACCAACAACCTCCATCTCAAGCTCCGCCTCAAAATGCGTACGGAGCTGGTCAACCCGGAAATTATCCTCCTCCTTCATCGCAAGCATATGCAAATAACGTTCCACCTCAAAATTATCCGGCTCCCCCTACTTCTAGTGCTCAACCTCCTCAACCTGGATCTCAACAAAATACCGGTCCTCAACCGAATTATGGTAATCAACCAAGTCCCGGTCCTGGTGCAACGCAATACGGTCCAGCTTCTACATCTCCACCATTCAGTACTGCCTCTGCAAGTGGAGTAAATACCTATGCTCAGAGTAGCCAACCAACTAGTACACCGTCCGCTTCAACTCAAACTTACCCACCAAGTAGCGCTCCACCATCTACTTCGCAAGGTGGAAACTACGCCCCACCGGGACCTGCACCATCCGGATATCCTGTGCATCAAACACCTCACCCAACGTCTCATCCGCCACATCAACCACCGCATCAATCCCCACATCAACCTCCTCATGCTCCTCATCAACCTCCTCATCAACCTTCTCATCAATCAACTCATCAACCTTCTGCACATCAATCTCCACATCAACCACAACAGTCTCAACAACAATCTCAGACACCGCCACAGCCTCAACAGCAACAGTCTCAGAGTCCTGCTCCAAGTGGATTTCAACCACCTTCAGGACCTCCACAGGGTCCTGCTCCACCTCCGGGACCACAACCACAACCTGGATACGGTCCAGCTACTACACAGACATATGTACCACCGACACCAGGAGGACAGCCACAGGTACAGATGTTTGAAAAATATGAAGCATATTTTAAACCGTTATTAATATAATATAAATTATACTTAATATAAATAATAAATTCTAGGTATACACTCCTCATCCACCTCAAGGTGGTCAACATTATGGACATCCACAATATCCTCCTCAGAGTTATCCACCACCACCAGCAGGACAAGGATATCCTCAATATCCACCGCGTCCACCTGGTGGACACATGCCTCCTCCCCCTGGACCTCAAGGACCTCCTCCACCAAATCAGTATGGTGGTTATGGATATCAGCCACCTCCACAATAGAGTATATATTAATGTAAATTCGTACGATATTCATTCTAATATAAAAATGATTTAACTACAAACTCAGAACAAATGGCATATTAAACTTTAATTTAATTCTTGATAGCATATCGTCCAGTGTTATATAATGAAACAAATAATAGAAAATATATATTACTAAGGAAAGGTGCTGCTAAAATTTTATTACGATTGTAATGAGAAATCAAAACTTTTTGAATAATTTTAATTTCCTCAAATAAGATATCCAATTTAACATTACAAAATATACTTCATTACAAAAAAGGATTTGTAGATATTGCAAACTATATACATGGTCTAATGTGTACAAAAATCTTCAAAAGTTATATCTTAAAGTTTCATTTTATCGAGAATAACATCGTTGAACAAATATTTTATTCATTAAAATATTGTTATAAATCTTTTAATGTGACATCAAAGTTTTACTTTCGTTTGTGGCTATTTAATTTTGTAATACATATATGCTTATGCGTGTGCAGTTTAAGAATTTTGGTGTTCATAATACAATATAAACATATCTGTCACACCAAGTTATAACATATGACACATGATACAATACGTACTAACTATTTACAGCTTTCAGTATATATTTTGCTTTAGAATAAATTTATTTACTTATCTAATTTTATATTTTCTTGATTGTCATTAAAAGATTTATGAATTTACACATTGATTTTTATTTTTTCCTTGAGGAGTTCTCTTAATTTTTACATAGATATATAGAGATATATATATAGATATATATATATCTAGGTAACAAAGAGTACAATATTTTTTTGTGAATACTACTTATGTTAATCTTATGTATGATAATTTTTTAGTCATTTTATATTACAAAATTTTTATGTACAAAATTTCTCTTTGTTCTCTGTTCATATAATATATTATCTAAATATATGTTTGGATGATTAAAACCAGAAAATAACCTCGTAAAAAGATATATTTTCAAATTTTGGAAATAAAAGAAGTGGAGATTTTTTATCATTATAATAATTTGAGTATTTTGAAATTTATCGTTGTCCTTATCTTATAATTCACTGTAAAACAACGATTCTCATTTACAAGAAGCATACAAAAGTTTACATGTTATTTATGCATACAAAATCGAGTAATCGTATTACTTAATAATTTAATTAACATTATAGCTCCTCTTTAAGTTTTCCATCGGCGTTGTAACATTTACAAGAATGCTTGGGTTGCAGCACTTCTTCCATGTTATCTAATACTTTAACTTTACTCTTTAAGCGTTTACTCCATTCCTAAAGTGTAAAAAAAGCATGTTATTCTATGATATATATTTAAGTAAAAAATAAATGAAGTTGAATCTGCATAATTTTTGCAGGAATTTCTTACATGAAACAAAACTACATGATAGCATAATACATTATCTGGTAACAAATTATCCCTTGCAAATTGCCTAGCAGATTTGGCAATCTGTAGTACTTTTTGGTCATGTTCTTTAGCCCACATAATTTTTTCAACAAGATCTGACAGATCCCTTTTAACAGATATATAATGTTTTCCAGCTACAAGATTATTGTAAAAAAATTCATAATACTTTGATTCTTGTTTTAATAATAAGGCATCGCCAGCAAGTAAATATGGAAGTCGATAAGCTGCGACTGTACCATCTATACATAACTGATATTTGTACTGCAATGTTATTACCTTTTAATTATTTTTACATTTGCATTTAAACTACATAATTCATAGCTGTGTTGATCTTACCTTGAAAAAATGAAAGAAAGACACATGGCTTTGTTCTGGACCATATTTATCCATTTCATCTTTAAAAAAAAAGAAATTTGTAATTGCAACATTAAACAAATCAGGATATTTTCTGGAAATATCAATTAAATTGAGTCGTTCTCTACTGGAATCTCGACCACGCCAAAATACTTTTTCTATCTTTTCATTCCATGGTGTATCCGTATTACCTTGTATAGACAGCATATCTAACATTACCCTGTTTTACATATAGTATTAGCAAATAGAAAAATGCTTAATATACCATGTATTATGATCTAAAATAATTGTTAAAAATGCAATTAAATTACTACCTTCCCATTTCTTCTAATGATGATTCTGTGATATCATAAGTAGGTATAACAATATCTTTAGTGTCAAAAGAGCCACACCAAGAAAAGATAGGATAATTTTTGCCCTCTTTTGGAACAAGTGGCCAATCTCCCAAATTCACAAAGAATTCAATATCTGGCAATAAAACTTTGCGAGTAAGAGATAGGAGGATAGAATCCATAAATATCTTAAAGCCTACATAGCGGCCATGACATTCCCTAAAAATCTTATTTCATCTAGTTTAATTCATATATAGTCTCAACTGAATTTTAAAGTTACAGATTGCAATAGTATTTACTTTGTTAGACTGAATTACATAGTGACATAGACTAACGCTTCCTGGCCGATCGTATGTTTTTACAATACTTTCACGCATTTTGTCAAAGTCAACATTTGGAAAAGGAGCAAGATCATCTTGCATTTGTTTATAACTTTTTGAACATCCTAAATTTTCTAACCAACTATTAATAGAAGAATTTGGACAGTAACATTCCTCTTCGTAAACAGGTCCTAAAAATTTTTATCAAATTATTTATATTATAGAAATAATTATTTTACAAGAGGTAATAAAAAGACTTATGCAGTAGATAACAAATATAATACCTTTAGATTCCACCAACAGGATAGGTAAATTATTATGTTTCATTTTTATTTTTAATTTGAAATTGAAGCACGTATTATGTAATTTATATCTAACAATAAAACTTCCGTCTTTACAGTCTAGAATTTGTGTCCATATATGACACATGTGTCCTGTTGAAGTTTGCCCTTGTATGGATACAGTTATTATATCTTTTCCAGGTGATTCTGTTAAACTAAAGCAATTTTTCAGTAAGTGAAAAAAAAAGAGATATATATATTTAAAAAATATAACTAAACTTTAGTGTTGAATTCATATTTAGATATTTTCTATAATATATAATATAATTTTTTTTAATATACGTATCTATATGTAATAGAAATGAAAAACATACTTTTTGCCTTGTAGATCGATAAACTGTAGAAAAATATATCTTGCTCGCATTGTCACTTTATCTGGCCTCAATCCTGGACCCCAAATTATTGTTTCCGATGGATTTATTTCAGCATTGCTTCCTTCTTGTTGGCAACTAACCAACAATAAGATTAATATAAATATCATTCTTATTAAAGATAACTGTCGATAGATTCAAAGCGCCTGATACACTGTAGAGACGTAAATATAATTCTTCCGTATATAAAAATTCATTAAAAAGATTCACAAAGAGTTTAAAATTTATCAAGGCCTCAAGTAAAATAAGTTTATTTTCTTTATCATTCTTTAATCATTATCACTCTAAGTATATTATAAAAAACATTTATTTTAAAATAAATCCAAATCGGTTATTCCATAGACAGCGTTCTTGAAATCGAGAGTAACGAACAAAAATCTGAAGTTGTTCAGAATTATAACTACAATTCTTTTCCCCAGTTATGATTTTCTATAGACATCGTTTTGTACGCAAATATGGATACATAAGGAAAATAATTATTAAAACAAATTGATAAAGAAGAAAAGAAATGAAATTAACGGGATTTAAAAATTCCTTAATTGCTGTTAAATGAATATCAACTCTATAATAGTCAACATGTAAAGATCCGCCTCTAGTATTATATCGCAGCTTCACATATGCTTTTTAGTTTTAGGTTATTTTTTTATTTATGAAAATTGTAGTAATTTATCCTGTATAATTTTGTAACTTAATGAAAAGATTAAGTAAAATGCATAATATGTATAGAATAATCTACCATGACGTGGAGATATTGTAAAATTGGTCATATACAAAATTCCCTTAATTTTCAGATGAGAATCTCTCACGTTTGCAGAATGAGCGAAAAGTAACAGGAAACATGATTTTCGAATCTTTAAGATAGTAACAACTTTCATTTGCCTGGGAAATTTCCCAAATTGGACATAATATAAAAGGAAGTTCGTCGGTAGAACATTTTTAAGAAGCATTTAACGCAAAATGGAGTGTAATATTGATGATTTGCCAGATGTTGTATTAGAATATATTTTAAGTTTAATTCCACCATACAAGAATCTTCAACAATGTAAACTTGTGTCCAAAAGATGGTTTCGTGCCACCAAAAGTATGTAAAATACGATTATTCTGTATATAGTGGTTTACGAAAGTGTGGAAATGCTTATAAAAATCTTTTATGAATGTATTGTATTATATGTTTTATATGACACATTTCGAAATTCTATTAACATTGTAATGGGACACAGTATGCAGATTATATTAAAATTTGAAACAAATTTTTCAATGTATATGGAAACTACAAGATATTTAATGCAAGTATATGTTTTGTGGAGATTACGAAAGTATTTAAACAGTCAATTATATTAGTAGACCTAAATATTTAATAGGGCCATCTTTAACATGTATTATATGTTTAAGATGGTTATTTGTGCTACATGCTAATTTTTTATTAAATGGATGTTTGCAGTAAATGTCTTGTAACTTCTATATCCATTTTCAGATTGGTTTCAAATGTTACTAATATAATCATGATCTTGTTTTATCATAATAATATTTGAAATTGGTTTAATATTTATATAACACATACATAAAAATTTCCCTATGGTAAGTGTTCAAATACTTTCATAAGCCATCATAAATATATCTGTAAGTTTTTATCAGTGTTGATATATTTCTAAAAATTAATAAAATCCATATTTTTGTTGCAGATGTAATACAACACAATAAAACACACTTTCATAAATCTGTGACTTACGGATCATTGCTTTGGAGTTCATGGCCATCTAAACACTGGATGCCTACAATTGCAAAGAGACATTCACATTCTGCTTGTACATATGAAAACTCTATGTATGTTTTTGGTGGATGTACTGCTACATGCACAACATTCAATGATTTATGGAGATTAGATTTGGATACAAGGAAATGGGTCAGATTAATTACAATGGGAACTTATCCATCTCCAAAAGCTTGTGCTACTATGTTGTATTACAAAAAGAGTTTCATTTTATTTGGTGGCTGGTCCCACCCAGCGCTATATTCTGTTCACCAGGTACAATTAGATAAAAGTTATCACTAATCAGAGTAGAAATATTTAAATCGGTCAAATGAGAAATATTCAATATTGTTATGTATGTTTCTAGCAATCAAGGTTGTTCAATGAATTACATGTGTATTCTATAGAATCCAATAAATGGATTGCTATAAACACCTTGGAAACACCTCCACCTACTTCAGCACATTCTGCATCAATTCACAAAAATTGTATGATTGTTTTTGGTGGTATATGTAATGGATATAGGTAAAACATCTAAAATTATTGCATGTTGTTTAGTAATTATTAATTTGATTTAATAACAACAAAGTACTATTTTGAGACAGATCCAATGACGTATGGTGTTTAAATTTGGATTCCTATAGTTGGCATAAGCAAGCTACTTCGAATTTGAAACCACAACCACGTTATGGTCAGTCTCAGATTGAGCTTGGAGATAAACATCTCCTTATATTAGGTAAAGTTTTCAAAAATAAGTT